TTAAACAGGCGTTTTAAACAAGTGCTGTCTCAAATGCTCCGTCCATACTACTCCGGAGAAATTTGAAAGCGCAACTATCGGCGGTTATTTTATATTTGTGTTTGAGGTAAACTCGGGCGGGGAAATCACGTGGTTATCTTGGCACCCTCGTTTTCGAAAAGCTCCTTTCTCAAAATGTTTTCCGTCCACACCAAAACTAAAAGCCGGCGTTTGCAAGTTCCTCCGGTTTGAAGAGCGTTTTCGACAGGCTCCGTTTTCGTGACGGATTAGTGTAGACTGTAGGCCTTACCGCGAACGTAAAGCTGCGTTTTCAAATTCCTTCGTGGTAGTAATTTCACCTCACTTCCTTGAAATGAATTGTTATTCTTGGTCTAATTCTAATTTCAGAAAGTGGCAAGCTTGCATAACTTTTGGTAAATTATTTCAGCATGTATAAATCACTATCCTGTGGACTTCTTTAATCATCGATATCCAGTGAGGGTATTTTGTGTTGTTTACGGGAGGTTCCTTACCACTATGATATTTATAGTTGAAAGTCCGTTACAATTGTGCTATGAAAATAAAAGTTCGAAGAAAAAACCAAGCAGGTGATCTCTTGTGTCACAGCCGCCCTCCCCGAAAGAAAAAATCGGAGAAAGCAGCGTCTCTCCGACTTTTTCGTTCGGGAAGGGCGGCTGCCACACAGGTTAGTGATCGCGAATGTCGTGGTCTAGTTGTATGACATGTATGTTGTAAAGGAAGCGAAATGAAGACGTCCGGTCACCTTTCGTTGCGACCGGCTCGTCTTTTCATCGTTTTAATCTCGCATTTTCGAAACGAAACCCTATTTCTCAGGGCAAACAGCCGAAAGATGTCCTCCAAAAAGCTAAACAAACAGTTTGGCCCGCGGTCAATTTTCTCACGCTCAAATTATACAGATGAGAGGGTGGAAACATCTGCTCCCAATGAAAATTAGCTCTCATTGAATTTTAACGTGCAAATAGAGATTGTTCTTGCTTTGGTGCGTTACCATGGCTACGTTTAGTGGCTCCAGGTTGCCTATCCTCAAACAGGAAGTCATTTCACGTCGATCCGACCCACCCTCTAATGATTTTATTCAACCTGATACCAAGAGCCACCATTGCTAATGGTCAGCGGTCTGATCTTGCATTGGTGCTCGGCAGGTACTTCATATATAACGTTTCATATGTAGGTACCTTATGTATGGAGTTATATGGTGTAATACTGAAATAGCCTGACGAAAGGCCTGGGAATGTCATTTATTGACTGTCTGATATAGATATTTAAATACAGCAGTCTACAATCGCCTTCAAGCCTGCAACCATTGAATAGTACAGAGTAATGTTACAATGGTTTTACGAGAATACAATTTAAAAAAATAAAAACTAATAAATTTTACAAGCGGAAAAATAAATACATCAAATAATTAAATATAAACTAACTCAATTACCTATACATAAGCCCAGTCATTAGTTCAGTTGAATACATTTTTAAAACATTTACAACCATGAGTACTTTCCATTCAACCAAAAATTTTGGTTAGAATTTCCGGAAATTTCCAGTGGCAAGTAAAACAGGGGTCAACCGTTAAGAGGGGACAACCTCGAAAGATACACCAAATTTTTCTAAAATTTAACGCCGGGAATTTCCGTTCCATTTGATTTTATTGCCGAATTTCCGGAATTTTCAGCTCAATGGTTTGAAATCCGGAAATTCAACAGCTCTCGGATTTAGCAGAAACTTTCTCAGGAAATTTTTGTACCCCCTATAGCTTCGGAATTTGTGCTCGAATAGGAAAGTCTTAGGTTTCGAACGGTTGAAAAAACCATTAAGACAAGCAAGACTACACGAGACAAACATTTCAGACCCAACGCAATTTCCTTTTACGACACTATGCATTTCGTTTATGTTAGTAACAAGAGTTCACCAGTATATCAGGACCACATCCTATAAGAGCCCAAATGTGCGTCCTTTCGCATTTATGTTTTGCAGGATCACTCTTTATTTTCCAAAGCGCGTTGCAGATTGGTATTTGGTGTCAATAGAGGGCAATCACCTTTAGTTGATCACGAAAATGCTCGTGAAGGCGAAGCTACCTTTCTTGATAAATTATAAGTTGACTCAAGAGATTATTCTCTTGGCTGGCTCAAGTTTAGTGTGCAATTAGCTACAACTCACTATTTTAATACGGTCACATTTTGGCTTGGTCAGCCAATATTCACTTTGACCAAATCTTTGTAGCCTGGCGGACCGTCACATTCTGCCCAATCAGAGCAAGGACAATGTGTTCACTGCCAATCAGGAGCAATGGGCTCACGTGACGTTTCCCGCCTTTTTCACCGACTGCCGCTCTGATTCATACATTATCCTATTTACAGACAAAGCAGTTTCCCTCGGTTGTAAATAATTCAATTTTAATTAATAAAGAAATGCTACAGCTGCTAAAGGCCGTAATGTTAATTAAGATACGTTAACTAAGGAAACACAGTCTCTAAGAAATAGACCGTGTGATTCACAGCAAAGGCATTCATACAAACCAAGGAGTAGAAGATATTGAAGCTCAAGTTGTTTTCTTTAGTTTGTATTCTATAAACGGACGTTCAATACATAAGCATTTCTTCTTACATTTCAATAAATAAGACCTTAGATGTTCCGAGCAGACTTTCGAGTAACGAATTCATTTCATATTAGCCAACTACAGCGTTGAATAAGCGTTCGAAACGGTCAACTTTGAACGTCCAGCGTTTCATTCAATAAATATTTCTAAGTTATGCATTAACAGAAACATGTCAATTAAAAAAGACCTAGAATGACATGCTCGTATATAATTCCGGGGGGGGGGATGACTCACGTATCAAAGGACGGGGGTGCTCGTCTTAATTTTTGAAAAGAACCCCTAAGAGGTGCCAAGATCCTGTTTTGTGGGCGTAGTTTGAAACTATCTTCACCCCTAAGAGGTACCAATTCTAAAAAAACACATTATCTCCTGTCATATTTTTTTCAGCTTAATATATACATATATATTTTGAGGCTCAACTCCCTCAGAGGTACCAAACCCGCTTTTTTTTAACCCCCGTCCTTTTTATGTGGGAGTCCCCCCCGGATATACAAGTTTCCACTCTTTAGACACACCGTTAGAACATTCAATAAATGAAAACTAATCGATAAACCCACTGAACATTCCATTTTTCTTCTTCTCCGGCGTCTTCGTTGCCCCTTCTGAAGCTGTTGGTGCGCCGGGACCCCCGATAACTTTGAACGCGCCTACAACAAGAACAACAATATATACACTTAATTAATTTAACACCTTTGTTTAAGCCACACACAAAGCATAGTTACAAGAGTGCTGCTGCAAGTGCACCGCGGTCAAACCGGCGCTAATATCTATCGCAATTGTTGTTTTCTCAAAAATTGTAAGTGTTTGAAGCGAAAATGTGCAAGACTTTTGTCAGAAAAAGTTACAAAAAGAGCATTATTAAACCAAGTTACGTGCCGATTAACGAGGTTTATAACAATAGTGAAATCCTCTATGCACGGGCGGCGTACAAAGCTAAAGTTTCCAAGGACTGTCTTAACTTTTGGTTTGAAACTAGGGTTGCCGGCATAATTTTGAGCATAATAGTGAGGCATGAGCATCGAGCATTATGCCAGCATGATAGTTACAAAAATTCCCGGAAATATGTCAAAATATCGAAAATAAATAAATAAATACATCGGAATTGGGTACAATCTCGAAATTGGGATTCCTGATTTCCTGTGGAGAAATATACGTGACAATCGACTTCCCCAGACTTCACGACAGAAACGGACGTGGCCACGTAGGGCGACTGGGAGTCTGGGACTCATTTATAATCATCCATATAAGCATATCAAGCGATTGTATTTTATTTTAGGTACAAAATGAGTGATCCGGGAGAAAAATTTTGAACATAAAAGGAGGACGTTTTGAGCATAATAGTAACATTTTTTGAGCATAAAGAATTAGCATAACAGTGAAAATTGTGAGCATAATGTGGACAACGCTACTTAAAACTGAAGGATTTCGAAAATTTGAGAGGTCTATGCGAAGCGACAGTTTTGGCGGGAACTACGCGCGGGCGGCACGCTTGACCGCTGGGAACTTTGCGTGGAGGCCCATGAGTCCTGCTGACTTCTCCCTACTCATTCGAGTGCAAACAGAAAGAGGCAGTTTAAAGATGATTTCCAGTCCGTACGGCGCAGTCTCAGCATCTCGAGTTTTGCAAGCCTCACTCGATGGAAAATCGAGGTTATTCTTTACGAACCGCTGTCCTCATCTTTGTGGCACGTTAAATTCTTATATCCAACCGTTTCTTTGATTTCTACAGCTACAAAGTTGTTTCATCTAGTTTCGTTTCAGAAAGAAAGAAGCATAAAGCTTCGCATTCATAATGACGGTTAACATGAAGCTTCGCATTTCCCTCATGAAGTTGCAAGAAGTTACATTCTGTGACGTCTTAGATGAATCAAACAAAACCTGGAGAGCGTGCAGTGCGACTAGAAATCATCTTTAAACTTTACTATGTTGCAACTCTAAGGTGACAGATGTGTAGACTCGTGACAACCGTATTTCTAGCTTGATGCAAGCTTTCTAGCCATCTAATCTTAGTGCGTGTCACTGAAACAAGATTTTATTAACGTAAATTGTCAATATGAAAACAGAACTAGAAAGAGGAAAGTGATAGTGCTACTAAGAGAGTGTTTGAGAAACAATACGCCACCTAATCAGTGGTGGTAGAATTCAGTTATATTAAGACATCTTCGTCATGCGTGTGAAACAAGGCGACAAGAGATTACAGGGGCTCAGTCTCGGTGTTTTGAGTTATTCTGGCCACGTACAAAATTACCTTTAAATTGCAAGAAACCTGAAAATAGCAGTTCACTAAGATAGAAACACAGCAAAGAGATAATAATAAACCATAAAGGAACAAGGATGGTTAAGGATGGAGAAGATTAACACGGATTACAAACAACGAACTTGAAAAAATTAGGCTAAACCTTTGAAGATGCGCAAACCCTGAAGTAGCTCCTTTAAGTGAAAAAGAAAGGAAGAAGTGTCTCACCGCTACTTACCACTACCACCACCAACCGCGTCAGCTGAGAGACAGAGAAAGATAGAGGAAGACAGAGGAGGGAAGAAATAGAAAGAGTAATATTAGCCAAAGATGAATTACTATTATTCAATCATGGATTCCATCCACTTTATTTAAAAGAAGCAAAAGATAAGAAAAAAAAAATGAAATGATCTGATTTGGACAGCAGTGTTCTGTCCTGGTTATTAACCCGTTTAAACAGCTAGACATGGTAGTGGACACATTGGATTTTTCGCGAAAGAAAATACTTGGCCTGAGAGAGCGAGTTTGTGGTCCACGGGGACAGATCCTCGTTTGTTTTGTAACACTTTCTCGTCGGTAATGACTAAGCACTGCTTTTCTCTCGCTACAAGTCAAGTTCGCCGAAAGCTTCTGCGATAGCTTGCTAAGGTCCTACAATTGGTCATAAATTGTATCATTCTCTCACCAATCATAATAAACATGATATTTTTTTTCAATTAATCTTGGACAAATTGAATAGCAATCGAAGCTTGGTTTGACGCATCCCACCGCTTTCAGAATGGGTTCCATGTTTTCCAATATTTTCCCGCACTTTTTACAGTTTCCCAATTTCTGATTGGTTCATTGCGATATCTGCGTTTATTGAGATTGGCCAGATGTGTTAACATAATACATCAAACACGAAAGCCAGTGTTTGACCACATTTCCAAACACCGAGAAGAGAGTTGAACTATTGGACTTTGGAACAATTTAGACCCCTTTTTAAAATCAAGCTGTTCAGTTCAAGTTTTTAAACGTATCTTAAAGAATAAGCTTTTAGACAATTTTGTAAATACTCGCTAAACTTCATTTATTTTTTAGTATTTTTCGCGACTACAAAGTTTAGATAATGTTGTAAATGTTTCTTAAATTTGATTAATTTTGATTGTGTAGTTATTAGTAACTCAGTAATTTAAGTAATTGTTCCTGAAAAGCCCCATTGGGGAGGTAACAATAAAGTATGTATGTAAAATACGACGCGCGGCGGAGCATTTTTGCCGAACTTCGAGGTGTTTGGAAATGTGGTCAAACACTATCTTGAGTGTTTGATATATCTTCTCAGTCGAAACTAAAACTATGGAGAAAACGGAGAAATAAAATTGTTAAAATCTATGCTAATTAAGATCAGATATCCAGACACCTTCACGGTCGTGATTTCCTTTGTTTAAACTTGAAGAATTTAATTATTATTAATGAGTTTGAGAAGTTGGTTTTAAATTGTTTCACACTACTTATTTGAAAACCGCACGATGTTCCAGTTAAACCTTGAGTGCTGGATAGAGTTCTTTTCCAGACATGATATTTGCCAATTTGAAATTGTAAGTTACATTTTTATACAAGCTAAGAATTCATCACCAGTGCGCTCAGTTACCTGTCAGCGCGGCGCCCGTGGCGGTACTGGGTTCTAAGGTCGGTGGATACTGCTTTTCCATTCTATCGATCACTAGGTCAGCGATCCTTCTCTGGTCTTCATCTTGTGTGTCACTGAAAAGTCGCATGGCTGTGTCATTCACCTACGACAGACCAAGTTCAAAACAATAAGCGCGGGACAGGTATTGCCTCTCTGTTTGGAAACGAAAATACCGAACATCTACTAGTTCTAAGCTAAAGCTGGTGTTAACAGTGCAAAAACCTTAAGGCCGAAATTTTAAGTACGATTTTGAGAAGCTTACGACCATATTTAAATCACGGAAAACCTACCATTTATGGTTTGATTTTGTAGAACAGTACTGTATAAGTAACAAAACCTATTAGGAAGTTAGGCTGAATAATAAAGACGAGGATCGACAACTCGTATCTTCAATTTTGCCTCTGCCAACTCCTTTTTGAAGTAATAATATTATTCCATCTGGTATTTTAAATGGTATTTTTCCTCCCATAAAATGAGACAAATATGAATTCCCTAAATACTACACACTGCTCCATTTAATACACGCAGTTATTAAGTCTACCTCTTGTATTCGCACGTTACCTCAATGATATACTCTTTATTGTCTTTCCCTACGATCGCCTCCACACACATGATGTCAAGACCACCTCCAAACAGCTTGCTACATTCGTCAACCCACTTTTTATATCTGGAGAACAAAGATAAAGTCAGCGGCGACACAGAGAAAATCAATTTCAACAGAAGGAAACTTTAATACCTGTCAGTGATAGCTATCTCCTCAAGCACCGCCGAACCCGTGTTAGTTTTCCAGTTGTCGGAAATGGAGGTTCGCCTGTAGACAGAATGTTAGAAAAAGCACTTTTTATACTATGGATTTTTGGAATGTAGTACTAACGACATTTTTTTGACAGGGAAAAATTCGTAACCTCTTAAGCAGCTCTTAGTCTTCCACTGCATCGAAGATAGACTGAGAGCAGTCTCGTTCTTGCTTGAAAATCCGCGGGAAGAACGCAAACGAACAGAGAGGAGCAGCGAGGCCACTAACCGCGAATAGCGCGGTCTTCCGATGCCTGCACTTCTCGCGGCTTGCGGTTTCGCCGCTAGCCTCTGCTTCTGGTTTGCGTTCTTCCCTCGCCGCTCGCAGTCTACATCGAAGAAGAATATAATAATGTATGAGAACTTACTTGAACGCACGGTAGTGGGTGCCAATTTTCTGAATCCTGATGTCGCATTTTCCGGGAATGAACGGCTCCGTTGTGGCGTAGGTGTCCGAGAGCGCCACAATGCTGGCGATGTCCTGGAAACTACGATGGTTGTGCACACAGACCTGAAAGAAAAGAGAAAAACCCAGGTATCGTACAAAACCGGTTATAAGTAGCATTTGAAAGTGTTTTTGGGTGGACTTATCTCTCAAGAGCCCGTTTCTCGAAGGTCCCGAAAAGATTTCGCACCCGTAAAGCCGTAGCAAAATCTCCAACCTTATGACTAAAGAGCTGTTTTATGCACATATTCTTAATATGAACAAAGGTTCCCTTAATAAGAAATAACACGCAAACTGCGGTGATAAACATGGCAATAAAACGCATGTTAAAAAACAAAATTCATTTACTTGACGTTTCGTATGTCTCAACATACATCTTCAGAAGTGACCGTTAGGAAATGAACTTTGTTTTTTAACATGCGTTTTATTGCCATGTTTATCACCGCAGTTTGCGTGTTATTTCTTATAAAGGTTCCCTTCATACAAGGACTTTCAGGCGTATACACCTCTCTGTCTTTAAATACCGATTAAGTAAAAATGGCTTTGCGGGCCCGAAAAGTTGCCGCGGCTTTCGAAAAACGGGCCCCAGATCTGGGAATAACCTCGTTCCCAGACTCTCTCTTTATTCTGAGAGGAAAGAAGAGAGTGGCCCTGGGAACTAGGCGACTCAGTCTCGTTCCCAGGGTCTCTCTTCTTTTCTTCCTGAAATGGAGCTGAAGAGAGTTGACAGGACAGAAGTTAAATGCTCTGATGTGCGATATAATGCAAGAAAGCGACTCTGATAAAACCTCAAAAATCTGAAGAGCTTCGAATGCGAACTAACTAATGGCTATTAGTTTTTGAAGCTCAATGCTTGAAGCTCAATGCTCCATATATGAGCAAGTCAGTAAACTCATAAGGAAAGGTTGGATGGTATATATCTGGAGGTATGACTGAAATATTTGCTTTGTTAGCATATAGGTGGGGCTAAGAAATGATAGAACCTCTAAATAACAAGCAGTCTATGGTATATTAAGATGATCAAAACACCCAGAGGAATTTTTACTGCTGGATTTAAGTCCACTCAGCACTGAGACAATTGGCTGAATTGGATCTTTTCAGCCGTGAATTGAAAGTGATAGGCAGATTCTTTTTAGATTGATTTTCATGCACTTGAGTTCTAGCTTCCTTTCGTGAAATTGAATTTGTCTTATTGTCCGAAAGAGACACTATTAATCACACGCAGGAAATTGATCATGACACCCGAAAGAGACGCGTGGACGAGCGAAATCAGATCTTTACTGATCCTTCAGTTTCCAAGGTGAAATCTCGTGTTGTTGAAAGCATTTGATAAGATGTTCGAGTTTGTGAAGGAAGTGCTTCTGTGTAACGACTATTTCAAAAAAACTATCGAGTCCGTGGATGAAACCCTAGTGTGTGTCCATTCAAATGAAAGCTATTGAGCCGTACTTTAATGTGGTACTGTTTATTACGCTGTATAAGATGGTTCTAACTTTTAAGTCTGTGGATGAAACCCTAGTGTGTGACCATACAAATGAAAGCTATCGAGCAGTTCTTTCATGTGATACTGTTTATTACGCTGTTCAAGGTGGTTCTAACTTTTAAGTCTGTGGATGAAACCCTAGTGTGTGACCATTCAAATGAAAGCTATTGAACAGTTCTTTCATGTGGTACTGTTTATTACGCTGCAGGGTGGTTCTGACTTTTAAGTCTGTGGATGAAACTTAGCGTGTGACCATTCAAGTGAAAGCTACTGAGAAGTACTTTCATGTGGTACTGTTTAGCATTGTCGGCAAGATGGCTCTAGATTTTGATAGGTTAACCTTCACTGAACTCCTATTGAGAGATCATTCAAATGAATTCTTTAACAAGCAGCCTTTCATTTGGTGCCGTTCATTTGTCATTTGTAACAAAGAAGATATTTTAGAAAAATAGTCAAATTTGCAGTACAGGCTAAAGGTAACTGGTTTACATACAAGTCTTCTTGCGGAAACGCAGTGTTTTTTGCCATGTTTATGTTCTTAAGTCTAACAACGTTGTATGAAAACACCAGCAGAAGTTTCGAACTGATGAGTCTGGGATGAAAGTACCGCCCGGACGGAGAATGTCTACAACTTTATTTGGAAAACAAAGTTTAATAAGAAGATAGAGCAATGATTTAATAACTTCAGGATTGTCGCGCCACAATCGGACGGCAGACGTCTTGGAATGAAAGCTAAAAATGGTGAACAAGTTTTAGCTTCTCGATACATCTAACTGTAACAGGCGAGACTCAATATTATTCTTTTTCACCGCAAAATTCTTCTCACACAAAGCGACCCTTTTCGCCTTGTTTCCTGAGCATACAAAGAATTTGCTCTTCAGATGGCCGGTGGTTTGCATGCGTACCGTCGCGTGTTTTTCAGACAAGTGGGACATTTTATATTGTCGGTATAACGGGACCATATTCCGGTGTAAATTAACAGACGAATGATGTCATTTCCTTGAGAGTAATTGAATAGTTGTATAATTATTATTTCAATGTACATTCCACAACAATTTCGCAAAATGTCCATCTATATATTTTCCAACAGTTGTTTAAGCACTTAAACCAATCTTTTGACCCATTTCACTTAGACACCCCCCTCCCTTCCCAGGAAACGTTGCAAAATCGTCGAGTCTGCGACAAAATCGACAAAATATCAATGATAATTTGAAAGCAGTGAAGATTGTGCAAAATAAGAAGCGAGAAAGACGCACCAACAGACGATCAGGAAAGAGACGTCAAAGAAACCGCGTGGTTGAAAAATTGTGAAAAAAAAAATTTCACATTTTCAGCTTTTCTGGTATCGGAAGGCCATCCAGGGGAGCCTATCCGGTGAAAATAATCTTGCACTACGGAAAGCAGAATAGTAAAAATAATTTTCGCAAATAATTTTGATTCGAAGTTCAGCACTCTTGGAGTTACAATGGTAGAGTTCTTCCTTTTTTCCTTAGTTTTAGTTTCGATCGAGAAGATTTATATTACATCAAATTTCATGTGATATAGATTACATCAAACACGAAAGACAGTCAGTGTTGGACCACGTTTCCAAACATCTCGAAGTTCGTCAAAAATACTCAATTTTGCGTACATATATCATTTTCTTAATAGTTTTCTTTTCTCTTAAATCTCGATACAAACATAATAACTGGAGACTGACTAGAAAACCCTTGGTTACTTCAGTCTCCAGACTCATAGAGTACACTTTCTTTTTTTTCTGTATTTACATTTCGCTGATATAAAACCTGTAAAATGTACGAGTAAATAAAGCTATTATGTTATTATATTACTCTGCTGCGCGTCGTATTTTCAACTCTCTTCTCGGTGTTTGGAAAGTAGTCAAACACTGTCCTTTGTGTTTGATGCAATATATTATCCAATTTTCAGAGGTAAAGTTCATCAAAATTGACAGCCTTACCTTGCCGTATCCACCATTTGCATGGCCGACCTTCACCACAACTGGAAACTTGGGGGTAATTAGCTGCAACAAGAAGGTAAAACAAGAAATATAAAACATGCTTTGTCAAGCTTCACTGAAAAATTCAGATTCACTCCCAAGCAGGATGATCACATTTCAATTCTCCTTACAATACTACTGCATTTTTAGGCAGCAAGTAATTCGAATTGTGAAAATTATGACAGGTTTGATGAAGCCATACGACGCTATTAGGGACAGACCATTATTCCTTTTTCCAAGAAAAAAACAAAATTCATGCACAGCAAAAACTGCCGAAAATAAAAAATCGTGCAACGGGAGCCACGGGGAAAAAAAATCGAGCAAGCGTTTTCTACTAGCTATCATAATTTTGCTAAAAAAAATCTTGCGCAAGCTATTGCCCACCAATACAAACTCATGCCCAATCTAAAAGTGAGATAAAAATTTAATGCCCCTGAAAATTGAGCAATTTCCTCCCGCCCAACCTCAAAAAAAAAAAAAAATGGTCCGCCACTTAAGCTGGGCAGTGCCTGGCAGTGGCTTAAGTGTCCCGAAAATGTTGCGACCAACGTCACGCAATATCGTGACCATTTTGTCTGCTCAACCGGCCCAATCTCGAACAGGTTGCATGTGCAAACCAGCCACCACTAATATAACAAAGTGCATGGATTGTCTCAGAATATAAAACCACTTGGGAATTTAAACAAGATTTTGCGCAAACAGTTATTTCATATCCTAGGTTACATGGATTAACTTTAAGAAAGATAATCTTTATGACAAGATTGCGAAAGTTGGGAAAGAAAGATCAAAGAACTGCATCATATTTCCACAAGACTTTAACAAGTACAGTTAACGTTTCCTCGACTTACGGAATAATGCGCAGTTGAAATGACTACATTTGAACCTCCCACTATCTCACAAAACCACATGTGAAACTCTAGGATTTCGAATTCTTTCTTGCAGCCCATTTATTGTAAGTGCTTGACACCTTCTGTTGTAGCTTACGATTTCACAAAATGGGTGGCCAAGCAAAGGTGGTTCGATATTACTAAATATAGAGAGTAATCTCCATTTCTAAGTAGGGTTCGTTAATAAATTTTCAGAGCGAAACCTGGCTAAACTTGAAAACTGAAGTGAAATGCAATGGTTTCCTTCCATTCGTCAAAAACTGCTCTGAAGAACCAGTTTTTCACGCTGGATTTTCCATAACATGAAATATGTTTGATGCTAAAACAAGCGACCGTGTAGTCACTTAAAATGGAAAGGTCTAAATTTCAACGAAACCTCAATGATCCAATACTTATAAGTACATATTTCATTAATTAATGACTTAGGTGGCGTCAGATTATTGCAAAAACAATATTAACTCAATATTTACGAGCTTTTTATTCTCCCAAAGAACCTGATTTTCGGTTGTGGCGAAATGCGGGGCGCGCAGGCTCCGAAAGAACCGACGAATCTGTTCCGATCTCTTTCCGCGTTCCCTGGTAATGTTTTGTAGCATCCGAGGAAAGCTACGAGTAAATAATTAACGACTCTGTCCTTGAATTTTTTTTTATATTCATTATGACGAACATTCTAGATTAAACCTTTGGCCAAATTTTTATATTCGACCCTAATCTGTCGACGCCATTCTGTANTATACAAAATGATACCATTTTTGTTGGTTGTGATCTTGGATTTTACTATTTTCCTAAAAAGTCAAGAAATAACAGAAAATTGATACAAAATCAAGCGCCACGAAGCTTATGAAATGTACAAATCAGTGATTTTCTGGAATTTGATGAAGAAAACTGGAAAAAATACAAAAGTGATGGACACACAATTGACATATCAAAATTTCCTCGAAGGATGAATGAACAGCTACCGAAAAATTCAGCCCCTTGGAGTAAATCGTCTTTTCAAAACTTTGAAAAAACCTTATTGGGTGCGGCGGGGAGGGGGCGTGTTGGCTCCATCCCCCTTTGTACGTCCCAGAGTTAAGCGGCCACCTCTCATTTCGCCTGTATACTACTTTTTAAAAATAAGCTAAACTACCGAAAGCAAAAATGGTAGCTTAAGATTAATTTGCTAAAAGCAAAACAACTTTTATTATACCCGCAAATGTGAGGCTAGGAAAAAAATCTGAATACAGTAAATGCTTAAAGTCACTTCATGAGGAGTGAATATTTTGGGCTCTTAAATGCCTTCGCCAATTTACCAAAAACTTTCTCACATTTGCTTCGCGGTTGATCCCAAGCTTGATCTAACTTAACGATCTAAAATGACCTTTTGTGGTTGGAGATTATCAGTGTGGACAAAAATGTGTATTTTTTAGGAGATCGGAGAGCGCAGAGGGGCCCGTTTTCTGTTTAAATAATATTCATGAGCACGGGCAATCACTGATAACACGTGTAGCAACTAAGTGGATGATTTTATCACGTTAACTATTAAGGCTGAAACTTTGCTCTTTTGTCTTTAGCGGTTCGCGCCCTGGTCTTGCCAAAGAACCAGACAACAGAAGGGTACAAACACATTCGCGTGTACGATCTAAAAATCCTGAAAATCTACAAAGGAGGCAAAACGCTTGGACTCACTGAAAACAGGACGGTCCACGGTGAAAATATTACCATCAATGGTGAAATCAGCCTGTTTGTAAAAGCTCACACTGTTTCAGTGAAGCTAAAAAACAGCACTGTGTACTTTCTTGCCGGGAGTGTCGGGAGCAAGACAATCCAGCTGAATTTAGGCAGTTGGGTTCAACCTTGGTCAGAGCTCACTAAAGAACAGCGCGCGGGAATCCGAGGAATGTATTCTCCGCATAACTGCAAATGCCAAATAACGCCTTGTTTCACTGGGAAAGCAGACTGCGATCACCTGTTGAAGGGATGCAACGTATCTCAACACCAACTGGGGACATTTTACCTGGGTTGTGAATGGCGTTATTCTTTCTGCTTGAAAAACAGCGAGGCAACCGCATGCTCCTGGCATGAAACCGCTGCGTACATGAACTGCAGGAGCCCGGCAATACCTTAAAAGCTTCTTGTCGGGTGTGAATTGGAATTCAGTACACCATAACTTGAAATCTTTAATAAAATCGCCGAGAAAGCAGCACATTTACAGTTTGAGAATATCTTTTCTCTCTGATTAACTTGATCAAGTGCTATATAAAGGAGGATTACAGAAGAATGCTGTGTTTTTCAACACAGCTCTGTTCGATCTCTACCGTTTTGATTTTTTTTTTTTTTGCAATCAAAGGCTTGCAGTGGGAGGTCCCGCAAACGTTTGAGATTTTTGGAAAAGTTGAGTTGTTTATGAAAGAGAGAGTAATTAACGGATGTGAAAAAAAAAAAAGGTAATGTCTAATATATGGACGGCAAACAGACTGCTATTTGAGTTGGTGTGGTCTGTTTGTGGTGTGTCTCGTAAACAAAACAGTAGTTTGGATTGAAGTTACCGTTTCAATAGGACAGCCATTGTAAACCAAGGAATCTCTTTTTCTATTCATTGTAGTATTGATTAATAGCCGTTTCCTTAGAAAATTTCGTATAGTATCTTCTTTACCATGAAATTTAATAGACCATTAATTCTTGTGATGCTTTTTTAAAATACTTTCACACGCACAGAACAGAACTTCTACTCTACATTAAAGGAGCTAAGGTTTGCGCATCTTGAAAAGTTTAGCCTAAATTTTTCAAGTTCGTCGTTTGTAATCCATGTCAATCTTCTTCATCCTTAACCATCTTTGTTCCTTTATGGTTTATTTTTATCTCTTTGGTGCTTTGCTATCTTAGCAAACTGCTATTTTCAGGTTTCCGGCGATTTAAAGGTAATTTTACACGCGGCCAAAATAACTCAAATTACCGCGATTGAGCTTAAGGCTTTTTTCTAATATCATCATCATTTCTGTTAAATTTAGCAGGTGTTTTGTGAGTCGTCTTGGCGGAATTTTAAACTGAGTAGATAATTTCCGAAACCTTAACGCTGTAGAATCTGCAGGATAACGAGTTTGTAAAATTTACTTCAAGTTCACTGTAACTGTGTATTATTTCATTACTTTTGTGTAGCTGTTATGTAACAAACCAAAATGAACAGCAAAACGCATAAAATAGGGTATGATATCACTCCTTTTATATATAGTAACTGATGTTTGCAATCCGTTTGTACTTTAGCCACACGACTAAGACTGGATTACTCAAGATAATGTTACTAAAAGCGATTTTGTCGAAATATTTTCTGCAGTAAACACACATTTGTCTGAAATAATTGAAAGCGAGCTTTTACAGGACCTGAGGGTGTGTGTATTTACTGACTGCGGTCAGCTTTTCCGTTTAATTTCGTCTAGACTTTTTTCATCTTCCATGAGTTTTGCCATGCCCCGAGTAGTTTCGGCGTATCGTCATTCGTAAAATCGTAATCTTTTGTACAATAAGCGAGCTAAATTATTAAACAAATCTAATGTGCTTTCTCTTTTACATCATTGTAGCAACAGTTGTGTTGTTTTTGATACCACTGCCTTAATGGGCCTCTGTTTAATACTATTTCTCGAGTATCGACAAATCCCGGCGTTATGAAAATCAACAGAAAGTCTAACAATTATTCTAGCAATGTTGTCTTAATAGCTCTTTAATGTCGCTAATATGTCTCGTTAACGCGATTTGGCTTACTATGAAGGAACTGGACAGATTGTGACAGAAAGCTCCTTTATAAAAGAAGATTTTATTCTTCAAAGAATATATATCCAGGGTGGGAAACACCGGGAAATCCTTTTAAACCAATCAAAATATTATGATTATTTCTATAATTAAAAGCATTAGATTTGTTTGTTATGAGAGGCGTGTTAAAGAGAATTTGAAGAACATGTTTGTGGCATTAACACACCTCTTGAAAAGTGGTGTAGTTCCTTGAAAGTTCTCGTTAGCTAAAAACCTCTTTAGATATTTCCTGCCACTTTTCTGCGTCTTTAAAAGCAAAAACTTCTTTTCTGAATTTCCGCAATGTATTCAGTTAATCGCAAATCAGAAGTTTTTAATTTGCGTTTTTTATTTTTGAAGGGCGTAGCGTGTCGCGGCGCGGCGCGGTGTGGCGGGCGCCGAATGCCACCCAGTACAATTTTAAGTTTATACCTCAGCTGGTTTCACGCTGGTATGGCTCGCTACATAAGCAGCGAGACAGCTCTCAGACGCTGCAAACGTTCCCTGAAATCTTAAGAGCGTGTTCGCGGGAAGATTAAGAGACAACGAAGCAAGAAGGATGTCCCTTGGTTTGGTCTTTGCTATATTGTTGGGCGTCGTCGTAACTTCCAACGACGCGTGCTCTTGTCTTGAAAGACATCCTCAGGAAGTTTTCTGTAGCGCGCATTTTGGTAAGTAGCAACCTCTGACTTTTTACAGACTCTGTATCTAAAGCTTGACAGAAAACTATCTTTGTGGATAGCTAGCAGTTAATTTTATGTCGACAACCCGAATCGATAGCCGTTATCTGGTCAGTTTTGGCTCCGACATCCGTTTTCTCCATTTTAAAGTCCCTATTCAAACTCAAATGTAGCAACTTACCGCAAAATCTGGCGTATTTTTGGAGCGCACCTCGCTCAGGCCACACGAGTGGATAAAATCAAGGTGCGACTTCACGAGAATTAACGGAGAAATGAAACGATCACGCTTGAAAGAACATTTCTTGTAACGTTTTTCGTCTGATTCTATGCCGCACACTGCGAAATCGTAAAGTGACACATTTTATAATATTTTAGTTTTATAAATTTTCTTTTCCACAAGAACTTTGAGGTTGAGGTCGAGAAAGGCCAGAATTTTAAAACGTGCTAATAAAGAGCCTCAAATTCTTGTTTTTTCTTTGTTGTGACAGTGAAAAATACAAGTGTAGCATAAAAAAGTTACAAAATCATCATCTGGCAGCGACATGGAATTGTACACTGTACAATTCAAACGCGTTTCCAGTCGTAGAGATTAAATACAATACCATCTTGCTTTCAAACTTGATGTAAAGAAAACATTTCGACAACATTTTCAGACTCAAATCCCTGAAAACTTTAGAACGTTCAGCCTATCGGCTAAACTCAAAAGAGTGTGAGGAATCTTCTTATAAGATTATCCCAACTCAGCACTGTGCCTAGACGCCAAAGGATTAGAAATTAAATGTTGTTTTCTTTTTAAAACGACTTAAAAGTCCGACTAAACAGCGTAGTATGGTATGGCATGGTTCAACGATGAACTACGACCTAAATGCTTCGAACTTAACTCATTTTAGTGCAAAACAATACAGATTTCTATTTCACTCTATCTTCTAGGTGAAACACTGCGATTTTTCGAAGATTCAAGAAACAGTTAACGCGAACAAATATATCTACTATGCAATCTCTTTTTGCGTTTTCTGTGCCTAGCATTCGTGACCGCCGTACAAATTCGCGTTTCAGAATCGGTTGTTAAATTGTCAGGCGAATGGCGAAAAATGCTCATTTATTACTTCAGAACACATGAATTTAACTGTCTCTCGACTAAACAAACTCAACTTCAATTAATAGTAAAAAAAAACAAAACTCCAGTCCACAATTAGTAGCCTGTAAACAGAAACTCTTCACCATTTCTTGCTAAAATATTCACGAACGGAAATATTTAAATTACCGTCGAAAATATCCCCACTTTACCAGCAATTGTTACCGTTGGATACTTACTTTAGTCGCTTGTTCGGAAACGGTACTTATTTTTTTCCTACTAAAAACGGTCTTTACTGCACGTACCAATCGAAGGATTATAATTTATATTCTTCAAGCGATCTACAATTCCGATGGCATAGGTCAGTCATGAACTGCGACCCGAATACTAAGAATTCAACATCGTTCGTAAAGTGCAAAATAATTCGTTCTTGTAGAAAAAGTTTGGTACATCGCGATTTATTTCTGATTGCTCTTTCTTGGTGAAGCTGCGCTCTTCGTCAGAGATTAAAGACATTTTTTTTTTGTGCATATTTCGTATGCCATCTCTGTTTGATTGTTCTTTTAGTAACACGTGGACCGCTCTAAATTCTCGCAAATAGTAATTCGCACCTAAGCGTTAGGCAGAACCTGTCATTGGGAGAATGTGTCGCGAATACGGCGATTGCATTCTCCATTGAGATTAGATCAAGTTGAAAATCTCAGGTACATGGTCCAACATGTATGAATTAACTGAATAAACCGCAAGCTAGTCAAACAGGAAGGACAGTTTACAAAATGTAAAAACGTTTTTGCTTTCTACATGGTAATCCTCACATGCGAAAATATTTACACTGTTGTGGAAAATACCCTCTCTTTACTACCACTTATCACCGTGGGACAACTGCTTTAGCCTCTTGGCCTGAAAAAGGTACTTGATAAAACAGGGATCCGGATTTCCATGCACGCGCGAGTATACTAGGCACCAAAAACTGATATTTCCGCGTGCAAACCTTCAAACGAGGAGGACCGGACCCGAGATAACTATGTCAGTTTTAGAAAGTGTTATAGAGAGTTCATCATTTGTGGTAAAGTTTTACATTTTATAGCTATCAAGCGAGGGAAGAGAAAACAAAACCAAAAGAAGAACTTGATAAGATTATTCAGTACACCAGCACGCAATACCTAGATGTAGATAACATTTTTTTTGTTGTTAAAACGATTTGGAAGTCCGGCTCAAAATTAAAGAATGACATGGCAAGGTTGAGCCATGAACTCATAAGTACAAAACAACTGGTTCTCGTAGAATACTGTCGTATCACGATTCCTCTCAGTTTCGGGGTTTCGTCGAATTGTTGGCAAACCAGAGAGCTTTGCTGAAGATAATAAGAAGCTACCGCCCGACTCGCGCGTACGTCGTATTTCATCCCTGTTACCTACGTGCGTGACCGTCCTAACTGTCGTAAATATTTACACACTTCAGAGAGAGAATCCAGTTACTGGTAAAATTCGTGTCACGAAAAAAGCAACGGTTGCTTTCTCAGGCTTGAACCTAAATAAAGTTGAAGACCTGCAGTTGATAGGTTAGAGTACATAATTAACTCTACAAACTGCGAGCCAGCTAATTTGGAAGTTCGCAATTTATAGATAGTGAAAAGGAAAAAAAACAAAAAACAAAACAAAACTGGTTTGCGCTCTTTGTTGTAATCCACACGCAAGGAACTATTTATATCTCATTTTAACACTATCACTGTGGAACACGTTCTTCAGCCACTTGGCTAACTGTATTAAAATTGCATCCGATTTTCCTATGCAAGAGCAAATCCTAAGCCCCATAATCCCCGCGGCGCATGCGACGCCCAAACCGCACAAACCCACCGAGAGAAAGAAGGTACTGGAAACTACAGAACGGAAGAAATCACCGAATATAAGCAGGTCGTAATGAAAACATGTTTTGCAACTTCCTTTTGTATAATTGGATTTGTCCCTCAGTTACGTCTTCCTTCTTCAGCTTAGCTCTTTTCAGATTAAAGTCAGGTGATCATCAACTAATTTCTCTACGCAGTATCCATCCATAATCAAGCAAACAGGTGAAGAGAATCAAGAAAACAATCAACTGAGAAATCCTGCTTCAATGTAATACCCAGTTCTCAGCACTAAAACTACTTGACATTTTGACATTCAGTGAGGAGAATTAATATCTGAATCTTCGGAAAGAATCAAATTACATGATGTTTCCTTTAATTTGTGATACCACTCTCTTGTACCGTTCAGCGCATACCTCCGACATGCAAAGAAAATCAGCTGACTTTTCGAGCGTTCATCATTTACTAGCGCGCCACCAACTTCTAGAGCCATGTTAAAGGAGCTACGTCACAGATTACGCATCTTGAAAAGTTTAGCCTAAATTTTTCAAGTTCGTCGTTTGTAATCCGCGTTAATCTTCTCCATCCTCAAACCTTCCTTGTTCCTTTATGGTTTATTCTTATCCCTTTGGTGTTTTTCCAGCTTAGTCAACTGCTATTTTCAGGTTTTCCTCAATTAAAGGTAATTAATTTTGTACGCGTCCAAAATAACTCAAAGTGTCGTGACTGACCTCCATAAGGCAGTCAAAAGCGTGTCTGAGAAATGCGTCGACAACCGTCGACTCAGACAATTTTCGGTATTTTGATTCTAACTGACAGAAAGAGGTTGTTAAATGGTCTAAAATCACCAGGGCGCAGTAATCGAGGCGGCGTATATATCTTTTCAGTTACCTCTGGGAGAGTGAAAAAAGTAAATATAAATTTGTAACTGCGATTTCTTTTTTTTTTCTCGTATGCTTAGCGATCCGTGCAAAAGTGCTCTCTCAGGAAGACAACCTCAGCAACTTCACTCGAATCTTCGATCTGCGAATCCTGAAAATATTCAAAGGAACCTGGAAGCTAAACCAGACAGGACGCGTTCAAGTTTACGGCTCCAGACATCGCAGTCTGTTGGTCAAGGCTCACACGACAACACTCCAAACTCTGTGCGGGGTGAGGCTGGCAAACGACAAGGTCTACCTGATCACCGGGCGGATCTGGAAAGGAAACCTTCAGCTGAATCTATGCAACTGGAATCAGGAATGGTCCGAAATAACCCATCGACAGCGCATCGGAGTCAAGCGCTTTTATGGTGAAAACTGCAAGTGCCAAATTTCACCGTGCTACACTCGGAAATGCCAAGAGCTCAAAGGGTGCAGCAGGTCCTCTGGAATCCACTTGAATAGCTGTGAGTGGCGTCACTCCTACTGCCTTGTAAACGCTGACGGAAACGCATGCTCTTGGCGCGAGACCGCTGAATACAAGAACTGCACAAGTCAGGCGATGCCTTAAAAACTATACATGACTTCACTATTTTCACGAAAATGATTGTAATTTTGTTACGAGAATAGCAATTTGTATCTAAAAAAAATTGTCAGAACTTAAAGGGCACTCATTCACCTTTGGTATAATCTCCAAAACACCTTCGAGTAGATTGAAACTTTTCACTTCCGCAGTTGAACTTAAGTGCATTTGTTGTAGTTGTAACATTGAACTCTGTAAATTAAATCCTGGTGCTGTTTAATTTGTCTTTCAGTATTTCTAAATTTCAACTTTTGGAAGTCTTCGATTAAGAAGAGTTCTCGGAAGTCGGCGTCGGTTGATGTTCGTTAAGTACAGCCAAGAGATTATGATCTTAATCTCTTGGTACAGCATATCAGAAAATACTGGAAGAGGCATGAGATAAAATCGTTATCCAATAAAACCTCATGGTATACCGTCAATAGTTCACTTGAGACTTAGAGGCTCGTGGGTAAATTGAAAATTTCACTCGTTGGATATTTCGCTGAATATACCGGCCACGAGGAACCATTTACCAGACCGAATGACTGTTGACAAACTTTACACAAAGCTTCGAGACAAAATGTTTATAGTCAATGCCATCACGGCTAAACTGACCAGTCAGTTTCAACTAGACCAGACACCATCGGCTAACAAACATTTTTCACTTTTCATTCACAAACAACAGTTCTTTTCAGAACTTCCCTCATCCAGAAGATCAGCCGAGACGAACTTCTGATACTCCTGGGTAAAAACCATTTACTATGACAAGTTTTGTTTGTTCCGTAATTTGTTAACCGAGCTTCTAGAAAAAAGCGACGGGCGAAAATACTAAGCTGCCAGGGCTCTGATAAACTCTACGCAAGCTTAGCCGGGGCTATTTTGACTGTGACTTATGTGGCTGATAAGCGTTTGGTTTATTTTTAGAGGGCCCTGATTCTTTGTAATCCGTAAAAATACTTGAACAGAACTCAACTTTAAACAATGTCTAGTTCAGAGCTCGCAGACACTCCAGGAAGTCGAATTAGACTTCTGTTCTACTGCGCCAATTCGAGCTGCATACCCACCCATTCCTGTCTATTAATTATGAACTGATAGGAAATAAGAATTCTGCTTGCCATACAGAAGCCTCCCACACAGCTTAGTCAAACCCCGTTTGGGAACGTCACGCAATCTCCCCTTTGAGAACCTTGCGTGACGACCCAAAGACTTCTGCGTCCTACGTAGAAAGTTCAAAACGTTTCAATTTTCTGAAGGCTTGTCAAAGAATGTACGCTCCACTAACTGACCTACGAACAGGGTAGAAATAAAAAAATGTAAAGTTATCATGACAGCGAGGAACGTTTTTTAAAGTTCCCGTGTAAAAAGCGTAATTTCACTGCCACCTTCGGGGAATCGCTTTTTCCAGCCTTTTGCTTTAGAAGTTTATTTTTATAGCCAAATTCAGACTAATAAAGGAGTTTGCACAGCCTGAAAACTCGCGGTAGGTTTTTCTTGTCGCTGAAGAGGAAAGCTACCTCAGTTTATAAACATGGAAGAACAAACATCATTGAAAGTGAAAAGTAAAAGGTATTTAATCTGATGTGGTTGGCCAGTGTTTGTCGTAAATGTTCCCGTCCTCGTTTCTTTGCACACTCTAAGATGGATGAAGCCTTGAAGACAGCTCAAATTAAAATACAGGCTATCAGATTGAAATCACACGCATAGTGTGTACATCTAATATTTGATTTACTTACTGTTTTAATGCCATCATCTATCAGCTGATTGCTACTTTTCTGGATTTCGCTACTTCTTCAAAACAATTTCACCTTTAGGGGACGTCTTTTGATATCAAAGAGGTTTTTAGCCGAAGTTCTCTTTAATCATGATACTCAAGCCAGGGCGCGGTAAAATTACGTAATTTACGCTTTACAAACGCACTTCACAATGACGTAGACGCGAACAAATGGGCACACGGGATACCGGATATCACGTTTCGTAGGTGCTGAGATAAATATAGCGAGTAGCCATCCATATGATCTAAGGTAACGTGTCAGCTCTTTGGTTACAATCTTGAACGCGCAATCAGTCAAGTTTTGCTGAACCACGACGAAACAAGGAGGATGTCTTTGCTCTTTAAAGTTGCTTTCCTGCTAGCGGTTGTATCTGCAAGTGAAGCTTGCTCCTGTATGCCTTCTCATCCCCAGGAAAGTTTTTGTCGTGCGGACTTTGGTAAGTTGTAAATTGCGAAGGCAAGGGCAATGTTCATAGCGAGTTTGTTTGTTGACAAGCAGCGAAGAGGATAAATCGGTAGATTTCAGGTAGTCTTTACTGGTTTCGAAATCTGTTTCCTTAACCTGGACAATTTCTGTTTAGATTAGTTCGTATAGGATGGCAACTGCGTCACAAGTGAGGGACAGGAACTCAAGCTCTTACTATCGAAGTTCTTAGCTTAAATCACACGTAGGGTCAAAATAATCGAAATTTGGCCCACCGCAGTTCGAAATGCTTGAAGCACATGTAACGCAGGAAACTGAACACTTATTGGCAAAGTACCATTTCAGTTTTGCAGCCTTTCTGGCCGGATTCAACTCCTGCTTCGTAAAATGAATCGTTAAGAAGGATTTCACGGCAGAAAGACTTATATAACTTTATCTCCACATAAGCATGTCTGGATAACGGATCAAAATGTTGAACTTTTTTTTTTAAAGATCGAGTAAGCGAACACAGTACGGCCGAATGCCAAGCGACAAAAGCTCACAAAAATGCTGCTATAAAAACATATCATTCTCCTTGCTTCAGAAACTTGCAATTTGCGGTTAGATTTCTTAATTCTTCTTTGCTTCAGAAACTTGCAATTTGCGGTCAGATTTCTTGGAGTGAAACTGTAGCTGGAAAAAGGACGCTTGGAAAAGATTTATCACATTATCACATAACAACATTATGCCTGGACTATGGCCGGATTACGAATTAAAACTTGTTTTCATTTAAAATCTGCGGAGTTCTCAATAAAAAGCAGTACAGAGCGGTTCACTTAAAAGGGATACTGCGATAACATTATTTATCTTGGTTTCAGAGACCTTCCTGTGTTTAAACGCCTAGCTGAAGATATAGAAGAAACAGCTTGTTAATTTATACACGCAAGGGAATTCCTTAGTGTGTCACTTCTGAGTACGTTTTCTGTTATAAGCTGCGGTCGCTTTCTGGATTGTTCTAAATATTTGNGATTTCTTGGAGTGAAACTGTAGCTGGAAAAAGGACGCTTGGAAAAGATTTATCACATTATCACATAACAGCATTATGCCTGGACGATGGCCGGATTACGAATTAAAACTTGTTTTCATTTAAAATCTGCGGAGTTCTCAGTAAAAAGCAGTACAGAGCGGTTCACTTAAAAGGAATACTGCGATAACATTGTTTATCTTGGTTTCAGAGACCTTCCTGTGTTTAAACGCCTAGCAGAAGATATAGAAGAAACAGCTTGTTAATTTATACACGCAAGGGAATTCCTTAGTGTGTCACTTCTGAGTACGTTTTCTGTTATAAGCTGCGGTCGCTTTCTGGATTGTTCTAAATATTTGTCCACTTAGAGAGAGCTAATCCTGCAATTAAAGCCACTGTAGTCACGAATCGATGGGGTGAATTAAAATTCTAGCGTGAACAGTTCAAAGCAAGCTGAGTTCCAAATTTAACCATGAGTTTATCAGATTGATCACACTCCATCGGTTTTTCCTGTCCGATCGCCCGGAACCGAAATTTGGAAAGAAAGGTTTGGAACGTTTATTCAGCCATAAATTGACGCGCGTACAAAACGGAAATATCAGTTTGTTTGTTTAACTTGTCTTTGGAAAAGCGTTGATCCTCCAATTTATCGATCAGCTATTTTATCTCCCCGGAGCACGTATTCACAACGCGGGGTCGTTTATAAATTACCAATCGTCTTTTAGTTTTTACAGTTTTAAAAGGTTTCCTTTTGCACACACACGCCCCGGAAATGGTTGACTCAACCGCGCAAAGATACTTTAAGCGACTTCTTTTCAGTTCGATCATCGAATTTTGTTAATTTTCACGCCATATTTGGCTTTAATTTCTCCCTGTATTACCGTTTCAGTTGAAAGCCCCCAACCTTTTAAGTGAAATTGCTGGCCTAACAAAAGAACGCTAAAATTAATTGGGCGCGACAAAACCAACCTCTGAAACAGAAATTCGATCGAAATTGTGTTATCTTTTAACCTTAACCGACTTTTGTTTGATTACGGCTCTTTGCATTTTGTCCAGATGTAACCTTTGAATGCTCCTCTGTTCAACATCATGTCAGGTAATTTGATCCAAATCGATTGTCTCCGTATTCTCATCACCTTTTTGCATAACAACGTACCGGCATTGTATTGAGAATTTAGATGTCCATCACTTTAGGGAATATTTATCTGCCGCAATACGTTTATCGGCGAGATTCAATTCTACGACCTTACTGCATTTTTTCCATTCGTTTCTTTATTGGCTTAAAGAATCAATACGCCTTTTGGGCTGAACACAGGATTGGCTTACCTAAACCTTTCAATATCTCTTCTCACTAATTGACATGAAACTTGATAATTTTTGTCAAGACAACTTCGTCTAAGTAAGTAAGTAAGTAACTTTATTTCAACTCGGGTTGATCAGGCTGATTAGGCCCTCAGCAATACAGTCGTGCTAATATGCCGAGAAAAATACATAAAAAATATCAGGAGAAAAAAACATACATGATCAATTAATGACTAACATTCTAACTACAGTCGAACCTCCGGTTGCGACCACCTCTCCTCAGCGACCAGTTTTCCAGAATACCAAAAGTTTTAAAGTCAAATCAATATATTTGGAACCTCTTGTAAGCGACCACCTCTCGTAAGCGACCGCGACCACTTTTAGAGCTGAAAGTTTTAAATTTTCTTTTGTTTTTAACTTCCCGTAAACGACCATTTGACAGATAATAGAGCGGAAATTAGGTAATATGGAGTTGTATTCCTGGGTTGTTCAAGAGACGGAATTTCTCAATAGGAATTACCGGAATTTTTTTCTCAAAACCAACTTTCCACAAGGAAACACAGTTAAAAATTTATAGAAAAAAATGCACATACACTGTACTTTATCAGTCTTAAATGAGGCAAGAGTTTGACTCAATTTGGTCTAAGTTCTCGTAAGCGACCACCTCTCGTAAGCGACCACCTGGGCTTGACATTTTGGGTGGTCGCTTACGGGAGGTTCGACTGTATATCAATAAATAAACAACAAACAGTCCTAAATCTTAAAATATTACAGCGAATCATAGAAAACTGTTTATCACAAATTTAGCTCTCTTACAGCATTTATAAATTCCTTAAGGATTATCATTGAACGTAATTCATCCGGTAAAGAATTCCACACTTTGGCACCAATAAAAGTTGTAGATTTTAAGCCAAAGTTTGTGGTTTTCTTATGTGGGACTACGAGCTTGTTGGTGCCTCTCAAGCACTCCTCATTATTACGTATGACGAACACGTCACTTATATATCCCGGTAACATACTGTTTACAGCTTTAAAAACTAATATGGCAATGTCCTGTAGGCGACGATTGGGCTCTATCACTATGGTTCTCCTTTAATGATCAGCTCTTTCTTCCTCACTACCTGCCTTATGAAATTGTTTTAAAAGCTAGCTACAGGGATGAAAATTCCAACTGGATTTCCAAAAGATAATTCGTTGCAGTGATATACCATTTGCACTCACTTTCGCCCCAAGAATGGGCGGAACGAACCCCAAATCAAGCCCGACGTAAGCATAAGTAATAACACACTCTGACCTTGACATTATTAACAACAAATATTTGAAAAACGGAAGCTCAACCTGAAGCGAGAGTGAAAACATTTTTCTTCATGATCTTTTACCTTTGTATTGTGTTCTCAGGCCCTTTAAGAATCGTGAACTCCCGGTGAGGCGGTGAGGGTGTAAACTCTCCTTGTAAAGGTCGGTTTTCACTAGCGCACAAGCATAAGCAATTTACGCTAACAAAGTAAGCCCCGGTCCACACTGCGCCGGAGAAATATGGAAAACGGAGGTTTCACACTGAAAACGCATCAATGTTTTCCTCCACATTACGCCGGAAAAATTTGAAAACGCAACAATCACCGGTCATTTTGCATTTGTGTTTGAGTAAAACTCGGGCACGGAATAGCATAATTATCGTAACGTCATCGCTTTTGAAAAGCTTCGTTTTCGAAATTTTTTCAGTCCACACTAAAACGCAAAGCCGGAGTTTTCAAATTCCTCCGGTTTGAAGAGCGTTTTCGAAAAGCCTCGTTTTTGTGATGGATTATTGTGGACGGTGGGCCTAACCATAGAAATAAAGCTGCGTTTTCGAATTGCTCCGGCGCAGTGTGGACCGGGCCCAAGGTGCGAATTTCGTTAGGAAATTGTCTTGACGAAAGGCTCTCACTGTGTCTGTGTATGTCAGCTTATGCTTATGCTTAAAGCGCTAGTGCAAACTAGTCTCAAAAGCTCGCATTGTGGGGTAGCACCATAATCACAGCGGTTTACTGATGACAAACTATCAATTTCGACTATTTTTCAGTGGTCCGTGCAAAAGTTCTATCTCAGGAAATACAAGAAGAGTCACTTGTCATCGGCCTACGAATCCTGAAGACTTTCAAGGGAGCATCGGAACTCAATCAGACGGAGGGCATTCAAGTTTACGGCTCAAGACAGCGCAGTCTTTTCGCTAAGGCTTACACTCATAAAGACGGCGCGGCGTGCGGAGTGGACTGGCTCGAAAATGGCAAGGTGTACTTCATCACTGGGAAGATCTTCAACTCAAAATTGAAGCTTCATTTGTGTAGATGGATTGCCAAGTGGTCCCAAGTCACCCAACGCCAGCGTGCTGGAGCCAGGCGCTTCTATGGGCCAAACTGCGACTGCCAAATCTCACCATGCTATGGGGATAACTGCCCAAAGCTGAAGGGGTGTAATACTTCTGAATATTTCAACCCTACAAACAACGATTGTGAATGGAGGCACACATACTGCTTGAAAAACACCAACGTAACCGCATGCGCATGGCAAGAAACCGCTGAGTACAAGAACTGCACGAATAACTCCGAGGGGTTGCCCTAAGAGTTGTGCAAGTATCATAAAGAAAAAGAAAGAAAAACAGCCATGAAACTAAACTGTAATGTTGTTAATTTGTGACATTTTTTTACACAATATTCGTCGTTTTGGATAATACATTACTTGTAAAACTATCTTACGATTTTAATTTCGGACAAAAAAGTGTCCGAAAACATAACCGTTCTAAAATATTTACAGTACAGTATAAGCTCTTAGTTTCAGTGTCCGAAATTTTTGTCCGAAATTTTTCCGAAATGAGATAAAAAGTGTCCGAAAATTGAACATCCGAAATTTTTTACAAGTAATGTGAGCCTAAAGCCTTGTTCACCTTGATCTATTTTTAGCGTGATTTCAACTTAGGAACATATCAAGGTTACATGCAACCCAACAACAGTTGTTTGATTTTGCAGGATAGAATTCGACAAATGACAAGGACCCATTAGGAACTAAGAATAAATAGCGACATTGGGGACGCTAATAATGCGTTTCAACTTAGACAAAAAACATCAGTGAAGTGTGATTTGCACTTCACTTGAAATTTAGTTTGTAAACTGACGGCAGTTGCACCATGAAATTAATTTACGAAGTTCATTTAACTGGAGTTGTTATTACTCAAATCGAGCGACCAATTTCTGTATTTTATACAGTTTCTGAAGTAAGAGATATAATTCTCATTTACATGTACGATAAAGTAGTTCTTTTATATTAACGAGCACCAATTTATTGGGTCAAACGTCACAATCTTATTACGAAAACTTGGGGATATTATGATAGAATTTTAAAGGCTAGTTCTGAGCGGCAGAGTCTATTGTGGCGTAAATGAAGTATAATGTAATCATGACAGCTATAATGGTTTGGATTTCATCAAATTGCTTCTTGAACATTAAAGAGTTTGTTACTTCAAACAAGTGGTAATGTGAAAGTTCTTCTTCACCGAAATAGTCCAAAGATTGTTTTAGTGTTCTGTCAGGTTTATACGACCTTGTGCTACACGCCTTGAAAGGCAGTTTTCGAACTACAACACACTCCGAACTGAGAGATGATTATGGGAGACGGTTAAAAGCTGGTACCAGAATCTAAATCATATCGGCAAAACCAGCATGCCTGGTTTAAGAGATTTACGAACCTGTTTCAATGTCCTTTCTCTTCTTAACGGCATTTAGCGTGTTGTTTTTTCTTGACGATTTTATCACTTGATCAAGTAAAAATTGTAAAACTTCTCCTTTCTCCTATCTCTGGCCTTTCATTTCAGATAAAGCATGCAGCCGGTGTTAAGCGCGGGAAAACACTCAGGAGGTGGTAAGTGCGGGAAAACATGCAGCCGGTGTTAAGCGCGGGAAAACACTCAGGAGGTGGTAAGTGCGGGAAAACATGCAGCCGGTGTTAAGCGCGGGAAAAACATGCGGCCGGTGTTAAGAGTGGGAAAACATGCAATCGGGAAAATACGCTACAGTGGTAAGGGCGGGAAAACTGGAAAACCCAATTTACAACTGTTGAGAGTTTGCTTGTGATTTGGCATCGAAAACGGCGCGCTGTTATTGGTCAGCCTGTTCACTATCCTTTCCTTTTCGTCATCTATATTTACGTCATCATTAGCTTGCAGATCATCATCGATAACGTGATCAATTTTCCACCAACGGCAGAACTCGGCATTACGCAATACTCCAAAGCGTGTTGACGTCATCTGGATAAATAAGACGGCCTAGCGCCTGATATCGGTTTGGAGACTTCAGTCAGACAAGTTTAAACGGTCTTCTTTGCTTTACGGACAAAAGCGCCACGATGACTGAGGCGATTCTGTACTTAATTACAGCGCTATTGTGTGTAATAACGGTAAATGAAGCGTGTAAGTGTGCCGTAGTACATCCACAGACGAACTTCTGCAATGCAGATTTTGGTAAGATTCTATTTACTTGCGTATTCTCCTTTCTCCTATGGCCTGTCTAGTGACTCCTGTCCGTTCTAAGTTTTTCAGTTTCTCATTTGTATGTCCTTAGCATGTCTGAGAGGGTACGCCAGACTTTCAGTAGACTCAAGTTTATTCGAAATTCAAGGGACTTGAGACCAATTCAAGTTGGCTGGTGGGGCTTTGATTTAGTGCCAGTTTTGTAGCGAGAAATACATCTTAACAGTGACAACAGTCTATTTTTTCGTTGATATCTACATTGATGAATGCTCTATAAAAATCGAGGACAGTTTTCTCACTTTTCAAAACCTCTGTTCGCTACGTATTTGTTGACTAAAGAAGAAATGCCATGTTGTTTACCTCGTGTGACGTCTTCACCGTTGTGCGAACATAACATTTCAGTTTGTTGATTGTCCAATTTCTGTACTGAATGTAAATACAGAGAGGAAATGCTTAACTCGCTTGTCATGTACTTTTATGAGTCTCTTCATGCTTCACGAGGTGTGTAAGTGCAGTCAAGCAACAGAAAATACCATTTTAACATTGCGTCGAGACGGCATTTGGAGAAGGTATCTTATTCGACAATTTAAGCTGAAACGACCCCCGCACACCTAAGATATCCGCCATCCCGAATAATCCTTGTCGGAAATTAACTTCTTAACTCTGACATCTCTGTTGACTCAGTAATGTTTACGGACTCGTCTGGAAAAAGAACGGAAATTAAGGTTTGAACGCCTGAGAGATAAGGAAAATATCTGCCAGAACAAAATCTAAAGTCATCGATGGTCACTCTATGCTTGGGTAATTCTTTGCATTGAGCAATAACTTATTTGCTGTTATAAATATTATATAACTTTTGCTTTTACAAATGATAAAAGCTTGTGACCTTAGTGGACTGAAAAAAAAGACGCTTTATAACCCAGCACTGATTGATACACGTCTAGAAAAGTGAAAACTTCTAATTTCCTTTCTGAAAAGCTTTCGTAATTACACTGCCGAAAACTGTTCATTAATAGTTACTGTCACGTCCACAAAACCAAATTTAAAATGATCCGAACTTCTCATGATCAGAAAAAAAGCCGGGTTTCTTTTTGCAGTAGTTTTTCTCCAGCTTCTAAAATACCCAAAGGAAAATAATCACAGACAACGCGAGTTCGAATTTTGAGTTTGTTGACTTCATTTACGGAATAAAAACTTTATGAGCTACAATTAAATGCAGAGAGCAATTTCTGACTTGAGAATTTCGTGTTAAAACGCGATTTTGTCAAACTTTCAGTTTGAAGCGATCCGGACAATAAAAAAATGTAAAAGTGTATAACGTGCAGTTGTTTTCAAGTTTTGCGTGTTAGTTTTCTCATTTCCATCCACGACTTCGCTGTAATAGCACCTGTCATTTGTAATAAAGCCTCTAAGCAAACATCAAACATTTTTTCTTGGTTGCCAATGATATCAGGAAAATTAGTGTCGCCAATAATCGGTGGCATTATCCTTTTAGTAAATATTGACGCATGTCTTTCTCTGACAGCCATCCGCGCTAAAGTGTTGAGTGAGTCCCAGACTAACAATAGCCGAGTTTACACAGTCAAGATCTTGAAAGCCTTCAAAGGAACTAATGAAATTACTCGGATCACTGCAAGTCAAGTTAAAGACGCAGGAAAACGCAAGAACAAGAAGGTGGCTCATGTTACGACAGAACTCCATTCGGCTGCCTGCGGAGTGAGCCTCGACCAGTCAAAAACTTATTTGCTACTTGGTTACATTGACGAGCAGAAGTTACGAATCGACTCGTGCCAGTGGAATGCGCTATGGACAAGCGCCACTGCTCAACAACGCCGCGGGCTCAAGAAACTCTATGGTCAAAACTGCGCATGTCGCATTGAAAAATACTGCTTCAGAAGACCGACCGAGACGTGCGACGATATGATTGATGGGTGTGATGTCCCGGATGCTGATCCGGCGGTACGCTTTTGCAAGAAAAAGAATGCCTACTGTAAAAAACTGGGAGATGAGTGCAAATGGATCATTGTTAAGAAGGCTTTCCAAAAGTGCATTTCGAGTTATTGAGACTTGAATGAAATTTAACTTGTCTTCCCAAACTCGTTGTTTGCAGTACATTTTTAAAAAATGTTTTTCCATTTCACTACGATTTAAGTAAGCTAACAACGCGTGATCTCTGTCGATTCAAACTGAAAATTGGAATGTCATTGCGCATTAGTTACGTCACGGTTTGCGCATCTTAAAATGTTTAACCTAAATTTTTCAAGTTGGTCGTTTGTAATCCTTGTAAATCTTCTCCATCCTTAACCATCTTTGTTCCTTTATGGTTTATTATTACCTGTTTGGTGTTTCTCTATCTTAGTAAACTATTATTTTAAGGTTTTAGTTAATTTAAAGGTTATTTTGAACGTGGCTGAAATAACTCAAAACACCGTGACTGAGCTCCTTCAAGGTTTCTTTACGAACGCCGGGATGCAGGAGACTAAGTTCCCTGACGTTTAGTTGACTCATTTGATCCCAAGACACATTAACAAGTAAAGTCTTCTGACAATTTTAATATACTGTTAGCTAGAGAGTTAAGGAGAATAAAGAAATCGTCAACTAGATGCGCACAGACATGTACAGCTAAATTCTTAACAACCTTTAAGAGGAGGAATAAAATCTCTACTCTTCGTAGTAGCTTAGACTGTTTTTCTAGCCCAAGAGTACTACGGAAAGTTTAAAAGTCAAAGCGTCGATGGCATTTTGTACCATTAATAAAATGAGGTTATCAGTAGCGCACGACGAATTAAAAATCATCATGGAATCTAGATAACGATCAGGCAAGGAGCCGAACGCGGCGATAAAATTCTTGCTACAGGTAACGACTGATTTGAGGTAAATGACTATAGGAACCCATTGAGAGTCCCATGGCTCAGACACGCACTCCAAAGTGATAAAAATTAAACCCGTATCATTCCAAATGAAGTCAAAAATAATCGTTTCCACGAGCTGGACCGGTGGGTGTCGGTGGACGAAGAAATGTGAAACGGGTTTCGTTTTCAGCAGTAGACGAAACCAGCGCGGAAAAGCAGCGGACAGTTAATCCGATGCAGAAATAATCAATTATTTTAGTTAGCTGTAATCAATAGCTGTTTAAAATACGCGAAGACCAGAAGCAACGGACGGTTCATTAGACTATTTTTCTTGTTACCAAAGTTGTTAGGTAATTACTGAAGTCTTGAGTCAACAGCTACTGAGACAATTTCCTTTAAGAAGATAACTTTTATGGTTCCCTACAAGTAAAAGATTTCTTCGACACTTACCATTTCCTTGTAATTTGGATAGTACGCTTGTTCAACCAATGGGAATTCAGCCTTGCCCAGTCTCTTCTGGAGCTGGATGAGTTGAGCGAACTGGTAACGAGAGAACAGAAATATTACTGTTCAAGCGATGCAAATTGCTTTACAAGTCTCTCTGTTTAATAATTTTCCAGCGATTAAATCCATGGCCACATGTCGCACGGAAATCTATGGAGTAATTCTATCCTAGACTAGAACAAAACTCATTCGAAGTATAAATGAAACAATTTGAAATGAAGGCTTTTTTTAATTAAAGAAAGAGGATTGGGCAGACTTAATGGCCAGTTTTTCGGCCAGCAGAACTAGCTTAGGACAGAATTAGATTGACTTTGAGGAATTTGAAAACCTTAGACTTACCACCCAGGGTTTCTCTGCGAAATTGTAGATGGATGTTAGCGAGTTCACACTCGGTACATTGCCAAACTGTAGCCCAAGAAGAATACAGCGGTAATCTTCTCTCGGCCCAATACCCCGCACACTCTGCCGAACAAGAACGAAGTCGGGGCGAAAAGACCTGGGAACAAATGAGTGTAAATCAGATATTGTAATTCGCGGTGGCTTAATGGGTAGCGCGCTGGACTCCAAATAAAGTAATTAATAAGGGTCATTGTGTTGTGTTCTTGAGCAAAGCACTTTACTCTCACGGTGCCTCTCTCCATGCACACGTATAAATGAACAAATAGGTAGGCTCGAACTCAACTGCGAGAGTAGCCTGACAGAACATTGTCAACCTAACGCACAACAGTACAAAACTGTAGGTAAATTAAACAAAGATACAGCACTCAGCGCAAGTGCTTAAAAGGAGCTCAGTCACGGTATTTCGGCCTGTTACCTTTAAGTTGAAGGAAACCTGAAAATAGTAGTTTACAAAGATAGAAAAACACCAAAGAGATAATAATGAACCATAAAAGGACAAGGATGGCCAAGGATGGAGAAGATTAAAACGGATTAACAACGACAAACTTGAAAACTTAAGGCCAAATTTCTCAAGATGCGCAAACCGTGACGTAGCTACTTTAAACCAATTAGAACTTAAAAAACAAAACATGTGACCGGCAGGAAATAGAGCAAGATTCTATGACTTCGATTTGACTTCTCCAAACCTTACAAAACAGTAACTCAATTGCCATAGCACTTTGTAAGTGATTAATTTACGAACCAGTTGCAGGACGCAGAGCAAAACGCAGAGCCAAAGTGCACAAGTAAATATATATTGAGATACGTCTTCACTCTAATGGTTAGGTTCTAATTTCTTTATATTTACCTGACAACAACAGTTCCCTCGCGATAGACCTGGATATCAACCATTGTACCACTGTCTGAGTACGAAGCGAGATTTAGATCTGCAAACTGAGCCTGTATACGAAGAAGACCAAGAAAAAGATTTCAATGCATTCCTCGATGTTTTCAATTCATAAAAACTACAATTTTCAGCTCCCTGTTCCCTTTTCTTAAACAGCAACCACGCAGATTAGTTACTAGTATCCCTCGCAGCCGTTATCTGGGTCATCATTGTCGGTCATTGTTTCTCCATATTTGCAGCCGGGCTTTGCGAAGGATCCACGAAATTAGTAACGAATGTATAACAAGCGGTATACTCTTAAGAATCGAGCCACTTCCTTAGTGAAACGGGGTTTTTCTAAATGTCGAGGGACCCGAGCCCCGCAGTCTTGGTGCAAATAACTTTTTGGCGGGGAAAAAGCAACCGGACGCTCACTGTGGCGGGAAAAAGATCAAAGGCAAATATGGAATGGTTTTCAGAATTTTTACGAGTGGTATACTTTTAGATCAGAGAATCGAGCCACTGAGTTTAGCGCAACCCCGTTGCGCTAAACGTCGAGGGACCCGAGTCCCGCAGTCTTGGTGCAAATACCTTTTTTGCGGGAAAAAGTAACCAACCGCTCACAGTGGCGGGAAAAAGTAGATCAAAGCCAAATATGGGATGGTTTTCAGAATTTTTATGAATTTAGATCAGAGAATCGAGCCACTTCGTTAGTGTAACGGGGTTGCACTAAACGTCGATCGTGCAAATAACTTTTTGCCGGGAAAAACCTGAAGTAACCGCGCGCTCACTGTGGCGGGAAAAAGTGGATCAAAGCCATATATGGAATGGCCGGTTTTCAGAATTTTGATTGGCTGATTTTTCTTAACAAACCAAATACATTTAATGTACTCCAAGCGTGGCCTTCTAAGCTGTAAATCCTTTTCAAAAAGAATTCTTTTCTAACATTCTACTTACTAAACGAAAAACTGCATATAGTAAAACGTTTTACCTGTTAGCTCACGTGATTAAAAGAAAATTTTCAAAAACCACACTTATTAAGCTTTTTTCGTTGAATCACAACTTTGCTGGATATGACCACTGGCAAAATGCCGTGAAATTGAAACATGCAAATAGGCGACAAATGCGCCACTTATTAATTTTTCACGGGAACAAATTTGTTCTTTCGACCTCATATTGGTTGCCTCTGTATACCTCATCTATTAAAAATCGCGCCTAAATTTTAATAAGCATACTGCGCCTGAACACCGCCAATTTATGTCAAAAGTGATCCTCACTGACGCCTTTTTGAACAGTTTAAAGAGAAGTGGACAAAATGCGCGGGAAATAGATGCTAATATTCGGTTGTCGCAATTTGTGATTGTGCCGTATATAACCTCATTAACCGCGCTGACCCAACCTTCATGACATTTCTTAATTTCGATATTTGTTTCAGCCGTTCAAACCGCTTCTTTGGCGATAGAGATAGCGAATGAAAAATGAATGAAAAACCTCAAGCGAGCGAAGAGTCTTGTACAAAGCTTAAATTGTGTCGGAGGATTTGCAATTAGCCGAGCACATTGTGTTTGACATGATCCCGCCGAACTTAGACCTCAAGAACGCAATTATACAATAAAATGAAAATTTTCTGAGGGCGAGATTAAAATATAAAAGGTAAACACAACAGTCTTCTTCCGTTTGTGGGCATTTGTCTCCTTTGCGTGTCGAACCGGATTGATTTGTTGTAAAGATACCAGACGCTTAATAGCTTTAATACAAATATATGAAGTGGCAATAAAAATGCATCATACCTGCTCTACCCTCACGTCATAAACACCTCCATGGAGTTGCCTTCCCTTGAATATCTTTGCCCTGTTGAAAAACAATAAAGCTATTAGTTAAATGACTGTCTACATGACACCAGTGAGAGAAATATTGAACTCGAATAAATAAAATCCAATGCGTTGCAAATTTTCACAAATACACCGTTGGTAGATGAGTTCCTAGCACGATTCCGGCTATATATATATTGTATATTTATGTAGTTTGGGGTTGGGAAAATGTGAAATACAATCCGTTTGTAAATTGCTACATGATTTCCGCAAAACATTCGGCGCGATATGGAAGTGAGCTCGAGACTGAAGCAACATTAATGTCTAGCTTGGTTTGATAATAACTGCAGGTAGGCTGGTATGGCTGTAGAAAACGGCTGTTGTCATATTGAAATTGGAATCAAAGTTGCAATCTTTGATCTTCGATCCATGTAACTTTCTATTAAATTTATACCGAAAACTTCACGTCAGATAGCTAAAATATAAACAGATAAACTTCTATCCCAGCGGAACGAAGGCTTGGTTTATATAGTCAATGGCGCTTACCAATCCGTATCGGGTGAATCAATAACAAGAAGGATTTTCATCTTTTTGGCGGCGGGCGATCCCCTTGGCGGCAGCGAAACATCTTCTTTCGAATCCGTCCTCGGTCTTGCAGTTGAGGTATTAACCGTTGTTCGCTCTGTGTCTCGGGAAGGGCGTAAGTTACTTAAATTCACCCCACCAGATATCTTCAACTTCTGCAGAAACTCCATTTTTCCACGCGCGCTACACTTGAGTTTTTGTTTAGATGCTTGAAGACCCGTAAAATTCAAGATCGCTCCAAGAATTCCTCAAAACATACGGTTTGGGTCAAGAAATTAGGCTGTATTTTGCGACTTCCCGCTCAATCAGTGATTTCCGCTGGGTTCCAAAATTGAAAGCATGAAAAGTTTTCAGCATTCAACAAGCCAGAACGTCTTGAAAATTCTTTTCAAGTCAAATTTAAGCTCAATAGATTACTCTAGCAATTGCTTGGGCAAGACCCACCGATGTAAGCGTGTTGTGTATTTTTAAAATATTCACAGAACACTTGGCAAAAGCACCTGTTTCATAAAATTACTAGAAGACAATTCTATTGTGTGCCGACCAATTACCAACGGGGTTAAAATCATTGCATATTCTAATACAGAACACAAGAGAACATTTTCTTGGCTTCCGTCAAGAGAAAAATAGCGGGAAAAAACCTTTTTAATGACTTTTAAGCGATTAAAAAATTCGATACAAAAAAATAAATGGGAAAATTATAACGCGGTTATGGTGAAAACGTTTTCACGACGTATTTTTCAAGAAATATTCGCTGACAGCAACATTTTAAACTATCACTTAGGAAAATAAGGTTGACAGTTGTACTTAGACTATTTACAAAGTCGAAATGCGTTTCTGAAGCTATGAAAAATTATTTGGCGGTAAAAATGGTTTCACACAGCAAGTATATCCGAAACAGTAAATGATAGAAGCCTAATGTATGAAAGTCAGTTAGCACTTTTGTTTCAATATACATAAATTCAGGAATTTATTAGCGGGTCGACTATTGTTAAGAAAGCTGGCCGTTTTAATCGCTGATATTTAGATTTTTTCTGTGATAATGACCTATGTGAGCTGATTTCCATGAAAACCAGTCAGCACAGACCTGAAAGAAGATATGTTACGCTGTTTCTAAGCAGTTAGGTTCCGTTCGAACGATCAACTTCGAAGCGCGCTAACCCCATTAGGTCACGACAACAAACTTCAATGTATGATCAAACATAACTTTGTTTACACAGTTAGTGGTAGTTTTAATATATTTCTCCAAATCATTCTGTTGTTTCTATTTCCAGAACGGTTTTGTCGGATATTATAAGGCGGTGCGAAGATATGAATTATGTTTTCGAGTGGTATAAACAATATTTTACGCACGAGCACGGCGAGTGAGTTAAATATTGTTATTTTTTACACGGGAAAATAAAATGCATATCTTCAGGCCATCCTGTAATTTTATTTTAATTATATAGATAAACTGATCATTTGCACAAAAAACTGTGGAAAGGGGAAAATGACGTCATCAATTTTACAAGTAGTGTATTTTACAGTAAAACACTCGTGTCTGCATATTAAACGAGGCTATTTCACAAAGCAAAATATGAGGTTTTCCGGGAAAAGATGGCTTCATCTTCTAATCTGGTTTAAAAAAGGGAAAAAAAACAATAACGCCTTCATGAAAAGGATTCCGGGCGAGATTTTCCTGTGTAGAGTAATAGCTATTTCGGCGACAACGCCCATAGGGATGCATCCCTTATTACAAATGTAGTTTTCTTTTTAACTTTTAGCCCTTCTATTACTAGAAGTATTTAAGCATTAAAGCATTATTTTTAATGTTTCCGATAGGCTCGCGATTTCTGCCGCTCGATCTCTAGAGGGCTTCTTTCCCGAACAAGCGGCTGGTAATCGAACCTAGGTTTTCGACATCCTGTGTTCTGATGGTCAACGCCAATACCAAAGGTGGATGTTTCGGATGAATTTGACATGTTAGTCTTCATGATAATTATAACCAGATAAGCTTATGTTATAACTTTTTGAGGCCTTCTTTCATTTATTTATCAGAGCTGGGTCATTCGAAAGCCAGTAAAAGCTGACCCAGGATTACAAGTTAACCGAATTTTAATTTTTCTTGCATAAAAATGTTATATAATAATTTATACAGGAAACTTCACCGAAAAGTTACAAAACTGAAATCAAAATTCTCGCTAATCTCGCGAAACTCGAAAGTAACGGTCCCCCCGAAAGTAACGGCGCACCCGAAAGTAGCGGCCCTTTGAAGAAGTCAATAGGAAAGAAACTCTGATCTCAAGCGCAACACAGATGGATCAGCCTGACTGGACTGACTGCAGGACTGAACAACCTAAAGAGTTATTTATTTGTGGTTTTATATCGAACGTTGTGGGAGGCGGGAGGCGCGGTGGCCTCATGGTTAGTGCGCTCGTCTCCGGATCGAGCGGTCCGGGTTCGAGCCCTGGCCGGGGACATTGTGTTGTGTTCTTGGGCAAGACACTTTACTCTCACAGTGCCTCTCTCCACCCAGGTGTATAAATGGGTACCGGCTGGGGGTAACCCTGCGATAGACTAGCATCCCATCCAGCATTCCTAGTCGCTTCATGCTACAGAAACCGGGATAAGCTCCGGCCTGATGGGTCACTTGGCTCGCATGCAGACTTTACCATTTTTTTATATCGAACGTAAGTGAATCTATCTTGAAACTATGATTTATAAGCTGTACCTGTCGGGCAGCAGGGTCAAATGATACAGTACCGTTAGTAACATTGCGATACAATGCGACCATTATACTTTCGCCCTACAGTAGGAACATAGTGCCTTTTCGTTATACAGCTGACCGTAATTAGTAACATATATAAAAGGAACTTTTACATGTAATTTCATGATACGCGTCCGCTTTGTTTAAAACTTACAAACGTTTTTTAACCATCCGAAAATAACGGCTACCCGAAAGTTGCCGGCTAAATCCGAAAGTAACGGGGGCCGTAGTCTTCGTCCATCCTAACTGTTTTAGCCTGTGAGCAGGCTCACCTTTGAGTCACACGCGCGAGCGGCGAACAGCAAAGCGATCCGGCGGGAAGGAGTCTGGTGAAGAGGCGCCAAGAAAGTGAGCCTGCCCTGATTTCTGTAATTTTTTCATTTCTGCTTCGCCCGAGCCCCAGAGCGAAGTGAAATACCATTGGTCGAAAAGCGGGAAAGGCGAAAACACTGTCAATCTATTATGGTTGATAAGGAGCGATTAAATCCCCATAGAGCCGGTGATTTACCGCACAATGAAAAACAAGTCGTCCACATTAGGAGTCAGAGGAAGAGTTGAGTGCTCGTATCTGTCGTATTACTGATGTTTTAACAAAGTTCCAGTCTATTTCTGGTTAAATTTCAAACTACAGAGGGAGCAGGAAATAGCAGTTGAAAGTATGTTGATGAATCAAGACGTACATGTCGTGTTACCAACTGCATATGGGAAGATTAAACGTATGTGATTGCAAGCGGGCAACGAAACAACACGAAGGCGTTTGCCCGTTTACCAGCATCGTCAAAGACCAGATTGCCAAAGCAAGATCACTTGGAATCAAGTGTGTGTCCTTAGTAGACATCAACTTTGACAGTTTTTCTTTGGCAAAACTTTATCAACAACGAATATCACGTCTACATGTTGTTGTGAAAAAGATTCACAATTTTCCCGAGAAATCTGAGCTGCCAAAGTTCATACTTCCAGTGAAAATTAATTGACTTATTCTTTCTTTGCGGTTTCCGGGGTGGTAATAAAAAATTTGCAGAGATCTGAGCAGCCTTTACTTTCTCGTCTCGCGGCTTCACCGCTCGATTTCGCGCTCGCGAAATGAGCCTGCTCGCAGGCTAAACTGTTTTTGCCAAGTTACTTCCGGAATTTTACAGCAAGTAAAAATTAGAAATTTTACACAAATAGAAATCGTCGTTTAAAGGGAGCATAAAAAATGGATTGAAAATCTTCTAGGAAGAGAGTAGAAAATTGCCACAACCAGCGTGATGCATCACGCAATTCTGTCACGTAATACAAAACGCAATACAGGTAATTTTCTTCTCCCAGCTTTCTAGAACTACTAAGTGAACTATGATTAATGGATCAGGACCCGGGAGTTAAAAGAACTCGTACTTCTCGAGATTTTTCATGAACCTTGACGTGATTCAAACTAAAGGTTGAAGTTAGTATGCGACAGGTTTGTTGCAATTGGCGTTACCTATATGTCACGATCGCAAAATGGCCAAGTGAAATTTCCACTATTGTAGTGAAGAGAGCCCGACTTAGTTCATCAAGGATGTCAAATCCTCATAATTAAATCCTCTCTCAGAAAAATAAGCTTACCGAGATGGCAAAGGCGCAAGGAAAGGAAGGCCCGATGCGAAGACAATGCTGCAGCACTTCGTTTTTGTCAGCTTTTCAGGGGCACCCAACGGATCGTTTCGGTAAATTATCTGTTCGGAAGACCTTTAATCCCCTCTGATTTTCTTAAGAGAATTGTCACCTCGAACTTTNAAAATTAACCTACAGAGCTTTAAAAGTACTCCACATAGCCTAAAACAGCTTTTAAAAGCATTCGAGAGAAAACGGTCGTTGGGTGCCCCTGGCTTTTATGCAAGAAGCGTTCAAGGCCCAGCGAGACCACATACCGATCTACATGTTGATGCGAGAAGAACGCAAATCGTTATTAGCACATAACAACTCAAATATAAGATACACTGAAAATAGAATCTTTTAAATTCGCAATTACAATACTTGAAACTGAAATTGTTAGCATGCAGCCAGGGGCAAGCGGGTGTTTCTCCCGCGAAAAGTGATCAGTCCCTTCCTTTTGAGGATGATGTCTCCTTCAGAATCTTTTGATGAAATTCAGAAAACGAAATTCATCCTTAAAAACTGATTTAACATCACATTATTTCCATTTTAACTAACCTTTAAAGCTTAAAAGTTCTTCCCGCCAAGTCGCACTTCCCCGTGACGGCGCCATCTTCGATTTCGATACTGTGACGTCACTTCCTGTCTTCCACATGGGTCGTTTCGGTCGCGGAGTCTTCGTTGTGACATAAGACAGCAGCATAAGAAGAGACGAAATTGATGTCCTCGCACGGATTCGAAATGGCTTTTTTCCAGTTCTTACAAGCTCGTTGAAGCCAGGTTTGCATCTGTTGAAGTATTATTAAGGTCCTTAAACGTTAATTTAGCTGCAGAAGCGAAACTGTGCAGTTAACAGCTGGTGTCAACTTGTAGTTTGCCATGTGCTTTTCGTGAGCAACATTGTTTTGCTTGCCTCCTTGTATCTTCCGTCTTTAGACATGCTTTGCCGAATGATTTATTAGAGATTAGGAACTGTAGTTCACAGCGCAAGCTGCAGGGAAAAAGTCGGTAGAACGAATGTTAAATGGTTGGAAGCAAAATGCTTTCTCAGACTGCGCGAGCCATTGCTTGCAGCCGGAAAGGGTTTCTTGTGTTCGTTTTCTCAATCCTAGATGATGTATTGTCCATACTATTGAATGACCCAACCAAGTTTCTGCAACGAAAATGCCCATTCTTGATGATATTGTGGCTGGTGCTAAAGACAAAAGCAAACAGCAACTTCAGGAAGCTTTGCTGGAACTGTTGAAAGGGAATCCAGACATTTTGGATCCTGTCACGAAATCTACAACTAGGACACACAGTGAAGTTGTAAGTGTTTTCTTTAACCGGATGTATTCATCTTGCAGACGAATTATTTGTCAAGATGAATGTAAAATAATCTCAGACATATTATTCATTTTCAGGGAGATATTATACATCTTTTTGCATTGTTCAACTGTGTTCATTTATTTTTCCCAGACAATTATTATTTTTACCACAACTGCTGCTAATCTCGCAATCTGATTCACTCAGTTGCACCTCATGAGTCCAAAACATTTTGACCACTGTGATGACATGTATTGTCGTCAATAAGAGTACAGACCATGCTAAACCACATTCGATTTGTTAATTAACCCCTTGCGTGCCTGACCATTGTGTATGTTGTGTGGGTGTCTTGTAAAACCGTCATATGCCATAAGTTTTTTCACTTAAACTGTGGACATTTTTTTGAAGGTCATAAAAATGTCTCTGTTAGTGTGGGTAATTTCTGTAAGTACTATGGTTACTGTAATTTGATATCCATATGACATCACAGCAATAGGAAATTAGCAGTCCCCCAAGAAACTCCCTACGAATATGTCGGGTGCTGATAAAAGTTGTTTCCAGTATGCCGGCCGGGAGTTTGACTAAATCTCCAAAAATTTTGATGTAGCCAGTACATCATAAACACCTGCAGGTAACTGAGGGACAAAAATCATGCAGACACTCCAGAGGTTAATGAGGGCTTAATGTGAAATCCTTCAGGCATGTGTTCTTCCTCTCTCTCTCTCTTTACATAAAGTATTTCTCTTCCTTTTTAAAACAAAACTCTTATTTCAAGGACTTGACACTGGATCAAGCTCTGACTCGGTACATGTATCTGTTTCTGTAATTTCCCACCAATAAGATACAGCAGTTGGATGTCCCAGCCAGGGGAGGGGTGGGGGAGAGGAGCTATGTATGTATGTTTCGAACCATTTCATGTGATAATATTTTGGGAAGTCCCCCCATCATCGTCTGAAACTCAGTGCAAGCTGTGCTGTTCATCATCATTATATGAGCCTCCATGTCACTGTTTCAATGCCTTGTTACTGGAAGGAATTGCAGAAATTTTATACTAAGAAGTTTTTTGCCTTCCAAGATAAATAATCAAATAAATTTTGTCCTAAATTTACATTTTTCTTAACATTTTGGCTAATGATCGATATTGAGACGATGAAAGTCAGCAGACATGACTATGTAACAAGATGACCCTGCTAGTTTGTGGCATACATCTTCGTCTGATCATTTGAAAAATCTTCTAATGATGTAGATGAATTACGTACATAATATAACAAAAATGAGATATAATTTTTCATATTCTAGTGGAATACTGTCTTGTAGGCAACAAGAAGTGGAGATGAGGAAGAGAGACGTTCGCAGAGAAGCCCGTCATCAGATAATTCCTACCCTGAACTTGAGAATAGCCTCAATCAGCAGTCAAGAGCAAGTTACCAGTGGCAGTTGTCTGACAGTGGTTAGAATATTATTGATATTTTATTATGTTCATTACTTTACCATATAAATCGTGTGTAATACCCTTTATAGTGTAGATAAAGAATTGAATTGAATTGAAAACTAACAGATACAAACAGTAGTAAGTTGTACATGTAGTGGCCTACTGGAAAGGGCCCAACGATTAGCCCACTGGACTCTGGATCAAATGGTGCGAGTCCAAAGCCTGGCCTCAGTCACTGTGTTGTGTTCTTGGACAAGACACTTAACACTCACTGTGTGGTTCTGTGCATATGTACCCAGACATGCTGTAAGAACTGTCACAATAGACCAAGCAATATGTAATGGCTCAAAAACAATTCCTAAGCAAAGGCAAGATAATGGCTATTCCCTTGGTGTACCAATATTTGAGTATTGCTCACCACTCACAGTGCCTTTCTCCACATGTACATATGTGTAGGTATTAAATGGGAAATGGGTGCTGAAACGTGAAATGTTGTGGTATGTTCTTACTTGTTTGTACCACTATCCTATCCTATCCCCCCCTCAGCATTACCCCTGGGGGTAATACCGAGGACAGGAGAAGACTGACATTTCAGGCTACCATCTTTGTGGAGGGTTTGCAACAAAAGATTCAGAGGGGGATAATTTTTTTATCAACCTTTAGATGATGGAATAGACTCTGCATGGACAACAGCCACAAAAAACATGTCACCTCGTGAACTTGCCAGATGGCGCAGAAAACTGTTCTCCATTTACGTTGGACATTTACCTCATGATATTACCAAGGTAAAAGGGTTTTTTTATTTAATATCAGATATACATTATGATCAGTCATAGACACTTTTCATAAATGGCTGCCAATTTTAAGTTCTCTTGTATGCATTTAAATGAACCTCACACACTGCGATTGAGAGTAAATATTCTTTTGAATTATGTACTCAAAAACGAGGTTAGTCTGGCTTATTGTAATACTTACTAAGGAATTTACAATTAGCAGCCATTTATGAAAAGGGCATATGCACTATAAAGATCCAGATGTCTATAGTCTGACAGTAATTTAAGTAAAATTACAATTCATCAATTACATGTGTAGTGTTTCTGGGTATATTTTGATTCTTAGTAACCATATTGCATAACTGCTGGTTTAAGAGCTTTGAAACCTAATTTCCCAACCAGCCACAATCCATTTTCAACACTTTTACACAAAGTGTTTTGTAATGATCCTGGTTACTCCTGTATTTTAAATAACCATTATGTTCAGCAAATTTCAATTGAAACATTGACCTTTGTGAGATTTGTATTTCTTTTCACAGAAAGAACTTGTGCAGCTGTTTTGTGAAGTTGGGAATGTACAAGATTGTCATTTACAACCTCGAGATGGAAGAGGAAGTGGCTATACTTATGGGTTAGTACATTTCACACGCACATGAATATATTTGATAATAGCTTGCATAGTGACATTTCACAAATGTATTTGCCAAAACCAAAGGCCAAGGGGGATAAAACAATTGATATAGAGACCTCGGTTATATTACTGCAGCACAAAAGCTCAATCCAACAATAGTTTTATATTTCTACAGATATAAAACTGTCGCAGTAGGCCAGAGTGTAGCCATCATATTAACTAATATGTTTATAATTTTCAGCTCCAGCCTACTTAAATACATATATGTTAAATATTTTGGAACAAAATGATTTAAATTCTATACAACAACTGCTATAGTGAGGCAGGGGAAGTGGTGTTTAACACTTCTGCATACATGTACTAAATAATGTAAACTATACAAATCATAATGACCTTAGATATGATGGCAATTAAGGTTACCGTATACCTTAAGAGGTGTCTCACATCCAGGCAATGTGGTGCGTCTGATTTAAACAGTAGATACAATGTACCTAAAGACCTCTATCAAATTAAAGCTTATAGAGCTGGCTATCAAACTATACCAAGAAGTTTGAACTAAAATGAGTTGTCCAATTTTTTACAACCTCTAAATGCGAGCTTCTGAATCACCTTTTGAAAGCTACAAGTCAAAGTGAATTTTGTTTCTCGCTTCCTTGATCTGCTCCTTAGTCTCCGAACCCAAAGCGCTAAAAAGTTAGTGGAGAGTTACAGAACATAATTTTTCAAAAATGTAGGATTAAAGCAATATGGAGTGAACATAGAATAATCACTGCTGGAGAAAGCATATTTCAAAATAATTAATTTGCAGGTCTACACATTTTTTGGTTTATATGTCCAACCAGCTATTGTACAAATTTGAGGGTAAATGAAAAAATTCCCATAATTTTGACTTGTGGCTTTCAAAAGGGACCCAAAAGATGATTCAGATGCTCAGATTTAATGTCACATGGAAAATTTGACAATTCTTTACAATTCAACATTTTTGGTATAGTGCGATAGCCTGCTCTATAGCATAAGCTTTAATTTGACATAGGGGTTTAGGTATCTGCAGCACAACATTGCTTCAATGGACTTGAGACACCTCTATAAAGGTGCTCTAAATGTGTACAGTAACCTTAACATATACATGTGTGTACACCTGTATTGTTAATTAACGTCTATAGATATGCCACAATTTGATGCCAGCTGTAAAATAGGCATATTCTCTCAGTCAATGAAAAAATCCACTGAATGCATAATAATCATTGTAAGTGGTGGTGTTACCGACCTACAGGTTGTGTAGCAACATCTGACATTTTGCCTTCTAGTGGAATCCACTGGTCATTGCAATATAACAACCGAGTCATTAAATGCATAACCTGATTCTACAGTGTACTATCCGAATGGTTGTTTATTTTCAATAAAATAATACTGTTGATTTTTAAGATATTATGTTGACCCTCAATAAAGTTTTATTTATTGTTACTCAAAAATGAAGACAAGAGGAGAAAAGGTAAATTACAATTGACAAAGAAAAAGAAAAGAAACAACAATATTCATTTATCTAGCCTCAGTCTATATAGTTATCCTCATTTTGTTGAAGGGATAAATAATATAAAAAAATTTGGAAAATCAGTGTACCTTTGAGCTTTTCTAAATTGCCATAATGCAGTTACACAGTGTAGACCTCCCTTAGGCAACCACTGAATGTGCCAAGCCTGGAGGATGGCTACTCGGCCACGATGCACAATATGTCATTTCACACTCTTCATCAACATTGCTTATTAAATATATGGCTTAAAATATTGGCAACTGTAGCCAAATCAAGCAGCCAGGAATAAACTAAGCTCATTAGCACTTGTTTTTGTTTGTTGTTGTTGTTGTCGTCATGTTTGGGTTAGGGATTGGATGGCCCAAAGGCAGAAGAATTGCTGATCACTGCACCTCATCACCATTATGGGCAATGTACAGCTGTAGCAATAGGTTGAAATATTATTATTGTGAGCGTCGCTAGAAAACTAGGCAAGGTTTTTCGTAGTTTTCAGTGCTGCATGCAACAATCTGAGGGATGGATACAATGTAATACATGAAGGTGAAAGATGCTTTTAAGGTCATTCCACTGAAATAGAACCTGAACTGAGATTTTAGTCAAACTTTGCTTCTTGACTTTTTATATTTTAGGGACTTAAATTTGGAAATAAAAATGAGGGGTCCCCATGTTTGTTTAGTACCAACAGCACCTTGTTTATACCATATAAATCCTTACAATAGCACCATGATTATAATCATGATTGCTTGCTAAATTCACATTTCCAACGATTGTTTCTTGCTCAACACTGAGAATTGGCCCATATTTATTTTACACAGAGAAATTTATTACTCAATTCAACACAAGAAAAAATGATAGGTCACTGTACTCATTTTCGAGAAAATGATGATTTACCTTTATGGCAAGGTCCAGCCTCAAAGAAAAAGCAGCCATTTTTTAATGCATGTGCACTAATCACACATGAAATTATGCGCAGTAGGGATGCGCAGTGCAGTACTGGGGAATGACCTTATTAGGTCTGTGCTAAAAGCACAGGGGTCTACATTTCCTGTCTTATTTTTTTTTTTTTATGCCTAAGTGCATGCAAAATATAGCACTCAAAACTGAATTTTAACTACTTTTTGACTAGTTGGTTTTTGTTGGTCTCGAACCCCATTTGTATCTGAACAGATGTACTTGATTCATTATTACCAAAAACTTGCATTGCTTCTCTGCCTTTGAGGGTTAATTGGGACATTGGAAGACTGGAACAATTTGCTTCAAGGATAAAACCTGACAACTCACATGGTGAAGCTGTAGGTTGAGTAAACAGACATGTTGCTCTACCTCGAGTTTTGGCATGAAACAGCGTTTGTTTACCAGGACTTTGATATGGCTTGATGCACTTCAAATTAATGTACTTTGAATGAACTTGTTTGAGGAACATAATATTAGACTGTTTCTGAGAAGGGTTAGAAAACGGCAAAATTCTGAAGCAACAGAGAAATCGTCAGCTGCCAAGCTCCAACAACAATGCCACAAGTGATGGAACGACTCCTCATAAACACATCAAGCAGATTAAAAGGATCATTCTTTAATTAGTTACATTCACTAACATGTAACAGCTATTGCTCAAATAAAAATTACTAAAATATTCCTGGCACCCTTAAGATTACTGAGGGCCCTCTCTATTGTCAAGTCACTTCCTGGACATGTTTGCATCAAATTTCCTTGAAATATGGCTAACCTCCGTAATTTTAAATGAACAAATTCATCTTGGCCAAAGAAATCCAAAGAAAAGCGACATTATTCCACATCAAGCATTCATTATGAATGTTTCTTAGTGGGAATTCAGATTTACATGATTTTAAAGGGCTACTTTCTCAAGGATGTGTTCAATCACAATCAAACAAAATGGTAAGTTGTAAATAAAAGACATCAATGTACAGTTGCGCTAACGAAATTAATATTTCAGCAGATTGTTAAAAAAATCATCAATTGCAATATATTATTAAAGAAATGACTCCAAAATGTAATGCTATGTACAAAACAAAATACTGTAGTAATTTAAGGGGTGATGAGTGGGAAAATTCGAGAGTCATGGCGATCTTGTTTGATGATTTGCGACTGAGAGTCTTGAACAGTTTAGACTTGGAGATAAATGCAACACAGCGATACAAAACTTGGTGACTCATCATAATGGCGTCTGAGATTTTAAGATTGGTCAAGAATTTTCCAAGATTATGCCATTTGGATCCATTCACCACCCCTAATATTAGGAGCAAATATTTTATTATCTACAGCCTGTCAAAATTATAGCCCCTAAAGGTTTGTTAACGCAAGGTTTATTCTCTTAAGAGAATTCAGCTATCAATGTAAATTTCCTGGGTTGATTGTATCATCAATTCTCATAACCTGCCTCATTAAGATTGTTAAAAAAAGGTTTCAGAGATGCTACTGAATTTATGTAAAATAAATTAGTTGAAACTAACAGGAAAGTGAAATTACCTTGACATTGAATCGTGTGATATCCAATACAAAATATATTAAAAGATTAGTTGTTCTGTGATCAAAAACGGGGAACAAATGATATTAATTGCACTTTTAAAATGCTGTCATCGTTTAATCAATTTCATGCCTGTCCATACCCGTACCTTAAAATTTATACCCCTCCAATTTTCTGTTTGTTGCACTAGATCAGTGATCATAAGCTTACGTTCAAAACACCAGCACTGCGTTTGGTCTAAAACATGGTACTCTTGTTAAGGGAGCCCTTGGCCATTCGCTTTGGTCGCCTCAGATATTCATCTATTGCTCTGATACAGTGCTTCCAAGTGGTGATCTTGTCATCGGACGCGATCGCGTACACATCAAAGACGGTCTCCTTTACGAAGCGAAGTCGGTCGGGATCAACAGCTTCCTTGCCTCGCGTCCCCGTGCAATTTTTGTTGTCCAGTTCAGCTTGCGTGAAAATGTGCCTCAGAAGCTGCACTGCGAAGTTGCCAATAGAGCAGCTCTTGCATTTAATCTGGGTGAGCTCCTCTTGAGAGATGTACTGGATACCTCGAGCGGCCGGCGGTGCAACATCATTCTCGTTGTCTGAGCCGGGCGAAGACGCTCCGCTCGAAGGAAGTGGCTTCAGGTTGGCCACCATCGACGGCGTGGTGGAATTCAACGGCGCTTGAGGCCGTGTCGGCGTATTGATGGGAGTTGTGTTTTCCACGCGCGGGGAAGGTGAAACGGAAGGTGGCTGCCCGGCTGGAACTTGTGTGGTGGCGGCTGGTGGTGGCTGATCTCCTCGCGAGTGTTCGCTGCTGCCATGAACCGAAGGGGGAGGAATGACCGCCACAGTAGTAGGTGGGGTGTTCTGTATCGGAAGAGTGCCTTGAAGCGCCGGGAAGAATGTAAATAATTGCTCCATGCCTCGCATGATCTTGTTTTGGTTGTGGAGGATGGTCGCTTGATTCACCATTATGGCGCGTTGGTTTTCCAAGATGGCGGAGAAGCGATCATGATTCATCGATTCATTCGGTTCCATGGCCATACTCTCGTCTCCGTCTCTTGTTTAAGTTGTCCGGTCAATTATTTCTGGCTTTGAATTGGCGTAAAGAAATCCTTCCGCCGCGTTAAAGTATTTAAAGTTCACAAGCGAGTGCGAGTAAAATGGCCTCCACGAAAGCGAATCGCGAGTAAACCCGCGTGACTCGATGCTGAGGTACCGCGCGTCTCACGTGGTATCGCGCAAACGAGGGTGGAATATGACATCACGCTTTACAGCGAAAGTCCGAGAAAATAGTTTAAATTTAAAAGTAGAAACTGAAAGCAACGAGGCATTTAAACTAAAAATAATTAGTTTAAAGCAGATTTTCGATTTTGTTTAAGGTATCATGGAAGGCGGATTTTTACGAAAAATGCGAAAAATCTTTTTTTGCTGTTCAAATTGAGAAGACTGAGATAAATATTTTGCAAAAAGAATGGAGAAAAGCTTTTTTACTTTTTAAGATAAAGAGAAAAACTATTTTATGAATCTCATTAACCTCTAATTAAAATTCACTGCCATTTGTCACATGTAATGCGAATTGCGGTGTGATATTTCATCTCAAACTACACAAAATCAAAAGAAATGAAAAACTTTCTCATACTTGACCATACTTCAGTTAGGACTAACTTGTAATCCTGGATTAGCCTTAACCTGCCTTCAAACAACCCGGCCCTGATTGATGCTCTTTAGGCCCTGTTTACAAGGAGGTAGATTAACCCTCTTGCTAGGGTTAGGGTTACCCTATCAAGAGGCTTAGCACTCCCTCAGTTCTGTTTTTTTTCTTGTGGACGTGTTTACAAGGCAGGCAGGGTTACCCTGGCACTTGTCTAGAGTAACCCTAGCTAAGAACAAGGATTACCCTAGCACCAGAGTAACCTACCTGCTTTGTAAACGCCTGCCTGGGAAATGTTATTTGTGCTCCAAGAAACAAAACATGATAAAAAATACTGGCAAATTAGTCAAACCAATTGTGACTTAAGAAACTTCATACCACAGTTTTTTTTAGTTTTGCTCTGGTTAGAAATTTGTTTTCGAGAAATGGCTCTTTGCAATTAAATTTTTGAGATAATATCTGTTGCCACTGTCGCTAAATTATTCCATATCAGAATTGTTTATAGTTTTGCCATTGAAATCATCCAAAACTAAAGCAAATCACTGTCTGGGATTTTAAGTTAAATTAGAAATTGAAATGACAGCAGTCGAACTGATGAACTACACAATTCAAGTGAAAAGAGGTATTGGCAATAAATTCATAATCGGCTGTGTGTTTTATTTACCAGATTAACTAAAATGTTAGCGGCAAGAGTTGTCCCTGAGGTATTAGGATAACCCTACCCTCCTGCTAGGGTAACCCTTGCACTATGGTTACCCTACCTGTTTGTAAACAGGGCCTTAGAAACAAAACTTTCTATACTTGGTCTAGTTTTCCTTCGTTTCAAATCTCTTATGGGAGTAAATACTTGACATAGGAAATTTAGAGAATTTGCAATTTTACTCAGAAAGCCCTGAGGCAAGCTACAATTGTAATATATCAAACATCAGCCATTGAGGACTATTGGCAATGATGAATAACTTCATGTATGTTGTCTAAAGTGTATTCTTGGCTTGCCAAGAATCCAAGATATGTGTAGGTATGTATTTAAAAGACCACTTTAAATTATTCGTAACACAGTTTTTTTCTTTGTCAGTTTTATTAGATTTTGCACACTTGACGAATGCCGTGATGCCGTTGCGATGCTCCATGGTCGTCTCCTTGGCAACAGGACCATAACAGTGGAGTATGCCTGCGAAACCAAAGACAGATTAGGCACTGAAGATCCAGATGATTTACCTGTGGACAGTATGTAGTTTCATTTATTAGAGTAAAAAGTTATTTGCATGACAAATAGTGCAATTTTCATGGCATTGAAAACCATCAACAATCTTGTTCTTTAATAATATTTATAATTAATATTTATCAAATATTGCCAGGAAATATCCCAATTTCCCAGGCATGTCTTCTTTAAAGCAAATACACTGCAAAAACCCACATCTAACCTTTTTTATTCTTATTTACTGCCATCTATCTGTAGCCATGGTATTCATCAATTTTCTTTCAATTTTGTAATGACAAATCCTAAGATCAAAAACCTTTTAGTTTGTCTTTATGCTTCATTGCACTTTACCTATTTTCTTTTTTTTATGTTTTGTTTGGTAATAAAACTGAATGAATTAAAGACTAGATCCTTTGCTTAAAGGGTTTAGTTTCTTCAAAAGTACAGAATAATACTATGAGGGATGGTTTTTATTTTTTACTTTTTAACCATATGTTAATCATGCCTATGAAATGTGCACTATACAAAATTATAGCAATTACTATTAATAATTATTCTTAGTTCTAGTACTGTTGTGAATGTTTCACCTATTTTAAAAAAATAATTGGATTACTCCTTTTGCAGAGAAAGACAGGCTTTTAAGAAATGACAACCCAAAGGTTGAACATCCTAGCGCCATGTCTGAAACTGAATCTCACGAAAAAATGGTTCTGTGGAAATTGCGCTGTTCTGCCACGAGACAGAAGTCATCTAATAAAGGAGTTATAATAAATGGACAAGGTAAAGAGAATGAAGATGTTGAAAAGTTCTGTGTTCCCTTTTGCACTTATACCTATTTTAAAATGCTTGCTTGATTGTTACAGGTTATTGTAGACAATATTCAAAACAGGTTTCTCAAACTTCCAAGAGAAATGTGTGTTGTAAATTGCTTCAAGAAATTGAGAGTTCAAGACATCAGCAGTAACATTACAATTATGGAATAAATACAAGGAAACAACTAATGACTGGAGTTATCCTCAGGGCACGAAAAACCCCAGGTCTGATTGCCCGGGGCAAGTAAATTTTGCTCTTGGGCAAGTGAAAATGGAAGTTTTGTGGTCTGGTGAGCAAGTGAAATTAGCCTCAGTAATCTTGTTAGTGATAATTTCTAATCAAAAACAGTTTCATAAGTGGGGGCAACTGAAAACTGAAATCGAAACCTGGATTTCAATTTTTTTTTGTCCTGATCCTGAGATTTGAGAAATCTAGAGTTGCTAATTGGTTATTTGTAGCAGTGACTACAGTGTGTCACGCAGATGCTCTGTGGGATTGTCACACACTCTTTCCTCTTCCATGAATTTCCGTTGGGGAAGAGTGCATGACAAACCATAAGAGCATCTGCATCAGAGGTTAGGTCACTGTCAGCACTGGGCAGGGTTGTGCCACTGCTGTTGAAGTAGCCAGGGGTTTCATTACGGGCCAGACACCGGGCAAATTGACTAGGTGTGAGGATGATTCTACCTGCCTGGTTTGACCATCTAGAGGAAAGGTTTTCTGAGTCATTATGAAGTTCAGTTCAAAAATATTTTGCGTGCCTGTGAAAGCTATTTGCCTTCCTGCTGAAAACATTAATGAAACCCATGAGTAGCATAATGTAAAATCTGGTGCATGCACTTTCACTTTTGTTATCATGAGCTTGAACTAGTGTTTGTTGCCAAGGTGCTGCAAGCAGTCAATGTGATACGCATTGAAATAATTATGGTAGTGATTTTAATTTTATTCTGCAGAAGCCAATAAAGAAGAGGTTCTGATGAATGCCCTTCAGGAAATAGTTAAGAAAGTAGCTAGTCTGCCTGCTGACACTTTTGCCACGCCCTCTGCATCAGAAGCTTCTCCATGTTCACCTTGGATTCTAAATGAGATAAATGGGTATGTTAACTCAAATATGCAATACACACATTAAGGTAGCTTGATTAATGAAAGAGTCAGAAAAGTCAGTAAATTTCTCTTTTTTTCTCTCTTGCTGTAGTGATTATCACTGTAGTTTTCTGCACTGTACTGTTGCAAACTTTTTGCTCAGTTTTGCTGAATTTTACTGATCAAAATCACAGTGGTCAATCTAGAGGAGGGCTCAGGGTGAAAGGACCTCTTCTAAGTGATTGAAAGTTCCAGTACTATGAGAGCCCTTGAGAAATTTGGGTCTCCACGTAATAAGTCTGGATTTACCATGCATTGTAACCTTGACAAGGCGTTTAGTTCACAGTCTAACCCTAGCTAGGGTCATTGTTTTGGCAACTTTTCAGTACTTCCAAGTGCTTGCGCTAATCTTTGTAAGTAACCTTAAGAGTGTTTTTATGAAGATTTGCCATAAACATCACTTGTTCTCCAGCTGTTAAAGGATGATTTTCACTGGTAACAGAGTAACTTGTCAGTAACATGGTGTTGTTTGCTTTTTTTATGTACAGCAGTAAAAATGGTGTAGCTGTACAACAGTCACACATCCCAGGGAGCCCTGACATGCATATGAAGGAGGAGGCAGTGAAATGCAATGGGACGCAGGAATGTAACATGCCACAAGAGATGAATATCAAGCATACTCTTGATAAGGAATCAACAAACATTCAGGAAGAAGGCACTAGACGTCCACAAACATTACCAATGATCAGGGAAAGGCAGGCACAGTCTCCAGAGGAAAATGTAACCAATTCATTCTCAACTCCAGACAGCCAAAATATCAGGAACAGCCCATTTCAAGCTCGTCTATTACCAAACAGCCCTGGAGTAACATCTTCCCCTGGACGTTATGTGTCTGCAAACAACAATAGAGTGACACCCTCAAGTAGAAGGGATTTCTCTCCAAGCAGTCATGGTGTGAACCCTTCCCCAGGAGGTAGTGTATCCCCAGGTAGCCTTGATGTTTCAACCTCTCCAGGAAGGCATGTGTCTCCCATTAGTCCTGATGTGACACCCTCCCCAGGAAAGCATGTATCTCCAACCAGCCCTGATGTGACAGCCTCTTCAGGAAGAAATTTTTCTCCAAGTAGCCCTGACATCACACCACCTTCAGGAAGGTATTTGTCTCCAAGTAGTTCTGAATTGACACCTTCTCCACGACAAGACGATAGTTCATACAGTGAGGTGGAAACTAATGCTAGTGACTCTGTTAGTGTTGGTTCACTGTCACCTGAAAGACCACTGAGACAACATTGTAAGTTTTGTCATGGACAGAGCCCGACAAGAGGACATGTTTCGGAATCAAGCCTGTCAGAGAGCATAAGTTCTTCGCCCTCTCATCCTTTGAGTTCTTCTTGTGCGTTTTGCTCTGAAGATGTAGATTCATGTGGTAAAGCAGGTAGTAGTGCTGCAATGGCTGAACAAAATCTTCAGCATGGCAACATGTCTTTATTAGAAACTCCCGCGATGAAAGATGGGGTGTGTGGTAGACCACCGAAAGACTTGTCAGGAATGGGACTGTGTTCCTTTGATTCCAATGTTCTTAATGGCAATGAAGTGCAGTATCCATCAAGATCTGTCCAACAAAGAGAAGCATCCCTGTCAGGCTACTTACCCCCACCGGATCAGATCATCAATCAAGCAGGTGCTGGAGGAAACGCCCTTGTGGGAGTGGAAGTACAAGACTCTAGAAGCTCGGCTACAAATAATACAACAGCATTGTCTTCCAGTCAGTGGAATTCTCCAAGGGAGCAGTCAGCCTTTGCTCAAGGTAGTGTATCACCACTTCAGCAGCAAACACATGTTGTGCATGGTTCTCATGTCACGAAGAAGGAGAATACAGAGTTGGTACCCTCAGCTGCAAGACTGTCACCTGTTACAAGGCATCATCAGCAAGTACGTCCTCTTCAGAATGAAGAGGACAACAGTATCGCAGGTCCTGCTCTACCTGTACCACCTCCTGTTGTATCTGTTGCACCCTCTCCATCAAATGCAATAGGACCCCTTATGCAAAAGCCGTTGAGAAGCCCTCCAGCTCCTAAGCCACTTTTATCACCTCCAGCAATAGGACCTGGTATGCAACAGCCATTATTGGGTAACTCCCCTTACTGGCCAGGGCAGCACCAACATGTTCCACCATTACTGTCAAACTTGCTTGCGTCCAGGTTCCAGCAGCCTGGCTTTCCAAGGCAGCAGTTTGGTAATGGACCATTTGTACCCCCTGGTGTCTTCAACCCAGCCATGTTTCAAGGATGGGACCCAAATGCATTTACACAACAGCAGCTCCTGGCATCAAGGTTACCATTTGGCTTGCCTTTCCAACCTGTGCAAAACCCAGTTCCACGGTACCGACCTCCAGCTGGAGGGCGTGGCGTAGGTGCTGCTGGAAGGGGACGGTCTATGGCACCAAGATTTCACAAACCTGGCATCGTGAATATTAAAACTTGTGGTGACTTGGAGAAAATGAATACTGGGAGGTCTTCAACTTTGCCTCCAGAGCAGACTTGGTCTGTTCACAGCTCTACAGGGATACACAAAGACACAGTAGGGAAAAACATATCTACAGGCAGTGATACAGCAACAAGTAATGCAAGTCCTTCTCCAGTTAATCTTTCACCTGAAAACACTGATGTTGAATCAAGAAGCAGAGAAGCGGCAAGAGTCAAGAACACTTCAGTTGGTAGTTGTGCGAAAAGTTGTATGAAGCCATCTTGGAGTGCGAGTTCAGCAAGTGATTTATCTCCAACGAACATCTCTGACACGATGCCAGACGAACCAAGAGAAGAGACTAGATGCCAAAGCTCTCTACCCGGTCAGGGACCGGGCAAATATGAGTCAGTCAGTGAGGAACATCAACTTCGTACTTTATCTCCAACCTCCTCCCTGCCAAAACAGGAAGGTGATTGGGAGAGTCCTGGGACCAAGAAAATATCACCCAGCAAAATGAGCCCAAGTGAACTGCTTCTGAAGGAACAAAAGGTAACTGTCTGACCATCTTTTCAAGGAAGCTGCTTATAATTAGTTCTTCGCTACCAAGGCACCATTACCTGGCAATGGCCCTCTGCAATTCAACACTAAAATGTCACATGATCAATTTTAGCCAATCAGAATCACAGGAATTGACTGGTAGACGGTAAGGGGTGGACTATTTGACTTTTGAGGGTGGATGGGGGAGGGGGGGTGGTTCATGCACTAGGACATTTTTTTCTCCAGACATGCATATGCATGATACAGGTATGCTTGCGAGATTTTTTTTTTTTTTTCAAAATTACCCACCCCCACCCTCCAAAGATAAAATGGTCCATCCCTAAAACTATAGATTTTCCAGCCCATATCACTGATTTGCGATAAACCAAAATTAGTTTGTACTCAAGCTTCCCTGGTTGGCAAACAGTTGCCCTTGGGAGAAGAAGAAGTTAGCAATACTTTGTAGGATTCTATGAGAACGTTGTGCGTGTGTTAGCTGAGCGCTTAGTTGTTTTTTGTGGTGAAATTTTAATCCTTTCAGCCCATATACTAAGAAACTTTTTACCTTGGCTATTTTAGAGCGAGTTAAAGAGAATTATTCAGGACAACGAAATGTTACGCCAAAGCATAGATTGGAGAAGATCAGCAGGAGACACTGACAACAGGTATCCAGAAATGATGAATATGGAATACGTGGCCGTTTTGCTTTGAATAACTGGATGTACTATCACTTCAGTTCCTTAAGATATGATTTCTGTCTCTGTTTGTTTGGTTGTTTCTTCGTGATTCTTTACTTTGTGTCTCTTTATTCTTTCTTGCTCGCTTCCTTTTGATGTCACGTTTGCCTGTATTTCACTAATTTGATGTGAATCAGTGGGAGGTGCAGTAGCCTCATGCGCTCGCCTCCAGATCGAGCGGTCCGGGTTTGAGCCCTGGCCAGGGACACTGTGTTGTGTTCTTGGGCAAGACGCTTTACTCTCAGTGCCTCTCTCCACCCAGGTGTATAAATGGGCACCAGCGAATTTAATTGTCGGGGGGGTAATCCTGCGAAGGACTAGCATCTTATCCAGGGGGGAGTAGAAATACTCCTAGTCGCTTCATGCTACAGAAACTGGGATAAGCTCTAGCCTGACAGGCCACTTGGCTCGTATGCAGACTTTAACTCTCCTGCATTTCCCTGATTTGATGTGAATCTCACTTCTTTCTATTTTCGTAATCACTCCGTGTTTGTTTCATCCTTTATCAGGGGAGCTCTCAAATCACAGATCCACTTAAAAGAAGTGCAGCTACAGAAAGAGAAAGAAATCGTGTTAGCAAGGTGTGATACAAATTAGTTTTGTCAGTGATGATTCATTACTTTGTCCCCTGTTTTTCCTCTTAGGCCTAGTTCACTCTGGCGAGATAACGACACGAACATGACAACATACGTAAGATGTTATATCGTTATGTTTGCATAATAGCAACATAACAGCATGAACATAACAACATGAAGAAAAACACTGATCTTTTCCTTTTGTCTTTATGTTTGTGATCACATTTATGTTGTTTGGTCGTTATGTCGTTATGTCGCCAGTGTGAACTGGGCGTCACTGCTTCGGCCAGCATCTTCAAAAAGTGATGACGGTGTCTAATTTCTCAGTACATTGCTGATTACAACTAAAAAACACCTTTATGCTCTTTTGTTGTGAAATGCGAAAAAAAGAAAAATCTTCACCAAGAGAAGAGTGTCTTGATGTAGTACCAGATTCTGAGCAATAACATGAAAAGAAATGTATGGCGGTTGGTTACGAGAGCTGATATTGTAAGGTTGTTAGAACAGGTCAACATACGGATTTGGCTAACGTGCGTACATCCTTGTTGTCACGCAATTCAGGTCATGTGATGATTCATTTGGCAGGTTACAATTGCTCTGTTTGTACTTACTCCCATGCAATCAGTTGAGGGTGACAAAACGCACAATAGACCAATTTCGATATGTTAAAATTCAGCCTAACACAATAGACCTTAGCACGAGGCTCTGGGGAATAAACCCCACAAACTCTGTAATTATTCCCCGGAGCCTCGTCCTGAGGTCTATTGTTTTAGGCTGAATTTTAATGTATCCAAATTGGTCTATTGTAACCTCCCAAGATCTGCATTGGGTGCCAACAAGGATGTGAACACGTTAGCAGAATCCGTCTACTTCTGTGTTCAGTTCTTGTTTCAGATTTTAGGTTTGTCAGTTTGTCACGATATGCGGTGTTCTATTTTGCGCTCGAGTTATTTTTACAGCGCTTCGTTGTGTGTACATTGTAGTTTGTATTAATACTATTTTATGTATTTTATGTTTTTCATGTTTGCGCAGGAAAGCTGAACAAGAACTTTTATACGAACGAGAAAAATTAGAAGCGGCGTTCGATCAGCAACTCAAGAAAGAGGTTGGTAGAACTTACGACTATCAAAACTTTTAATTTTTGCTTTCAGCTTCTACTTTCAAAACACTAATGGCTGACTAAAAATAGAGACAATTAACGGTGTAGTTTAGATCTGAACTAGCAACACAGCTAACAAACAACTAGAAAACACAACTAGCAAACACAACTATAGACCACGAGTAGTCCCTCTTTCGCTTAGTCCGTCATGGGTGACGCGAAAGAAAACTGCGAGGAAAAAATGGCCGCGCGACCATTTTTTTCTCGCAGTTTTCTTCCGCATCACGCACGACGGACTATGCGAAAGAGAGACTACTCGTAGTCTAACAATACAAGCAAACACAACTAGAAAAGACAACTAAAAAACACAACTGGAAAACACAACTAGAATACACAACTAAATAACACAACTAACAAACAGTAAAATTCGTTTACGTTTCCGGGACGTTCTTCTAGCAACCGATGGTATTTTAAATTTCGCTAAACGGTAGAGCAGTGCAGTGCTGAAACGTACATGTATGAAAAATATACCATTTATTGTAATAACCCCCCCGCCGACACCTCACCCGCATTAAGGTATAGGTAACCTCTAATCCGTTATCAACTTTGATTTTCAACAGCTTGAGACAGAACAGCGGATTGGAGAGACAGAGAACAAGATTTGTCTTGCAAAACTGGAGAACGAGCTTCTAGTACTGTATCAAAAGCTTTATGGAAGCAACTAACTAATATAAAGGGGTCTTCCGTTACTGCTGACAAAGAACTTTATCACCAACAAATAAAGCCGTCTGTTTTCATAGAGTGAAATAAATCTATGGAGATATATTTTAGTTCGCGCAAATTTAATGACGATATTAACATTTACTTATGTCGAGAAAGAGTTATCACTGCTTCATGTTATTACGTATTTAATACGGGCCGTCCTGTTTCCCTGTGATAGCATTTTTTTCATTAATGTAACGTTCTGACAGGTTTTTTGTTGGTTTTTCGATTTTCTCAGCCAAACATGGGGTCAACAACTGCACGAGCGGTTCATCGACTTATCTTGCCTCGGTTATTCCACCTCCCAGAACAACTTGGCTCCTGATTGGTCACGTGACGCAGAAAATCAACAAAAAGACGTCAAAAATTGTAAAGAAAACGTTGAGCCAGATAAAGTTGTCCCTTAAAGTTGGAGTACACTTTTCAACGAAAATATTACAGAATTTATTGTTCTTGTGGGAGTCTAACATTTGTTTGAAGTTAAAGATGTAAGACAAAGACATATCAAAGAAGTATTTTTTGGTTAATAAATATATTTTTGGGACCAATGTTTTCCTGGTACAGTGGATGTGAACACTTTGTAAGCTTCTGTAATGATCAGCGGACAATACCAGGGGACCAGATCCCAGTGAATGCAGTCAGGAAATTGACAAAATCTCACTTGCAACTATTGAAGAAAGACTGACCTTATGAATAGACTAAGATACATATTTTACACTAGATGTGGTGATCGGAAGGTATGAAATGTTTTCCTAAATAATTATTTTCTAGTGGTTTGCACATGGGTCGCAGAATCAGCGCATTGACCCGTTTTCTACTCTCCTCCGTCGCCCTTCACATTTTCACACTTTTTCCAGATCCTTTTCGGATTGCCATGTTTCTCCCGACGAACTCGAATGTGAACACTGTTTGAGCATTTGCCTCCCAGGCGTAAGGAATTATAAACGAAACAAATCACATTATTGGGGTTTGAGTGATAATGAAATAATTTAATTTGACTTATTCCCCTAAACCTTGGAAGGAGTCGGAGCCAAGTTAGATTTTCATCCGATCCTGAAGACGGTATGATCATCCGCTGCTGTTTCGCCGTATTTTGCACAGTAGCAGTGATTCTTCTTCCACTCGCCCGTCGAGGTATGCAGCGTTCAACTCCCCCGTACTTCATCCACAAGCACGCACCCAGTACGTGTTCATTTTCTTCCCTGCGTCATGACAGCNCCATACAGACCTCCTGCTCGGTTAATAAGAGCTAAGTAATGATCAGCGGACAATACCAAGGGACCAGATCCTGGTGAATGCAGTCAGGAAATTGCGAAAATCGCAGTTGCAACTATTGAAGAAAGACTGACCTTATGAATAGACTAAGATACATATTTTACACTAGATGTTGTGATCGGAAGGTATGAAATGATTTCCTAAATAATTATTTTCTAGTGGTTTGCTCATGGGTCGCAGAATCAGCGCATTGACCCGTTTTCTACTCTCCTCCGTCGCCCTTCACATTTTCACACTCTTTCCAGATCCTTTTCGGATTGCGATGTGTCTCCCGACGAACTCGAATGTGAACACTGTTTGAGCATTCGCCTCCCAGGCGTATGGAATTATAAACGAAACAAATCACATTTGGGTTGAGTGATAATGAAATAATTTAATTTGATATATTCCCCTAAACCTCGGAAGGAGTCGGAGCCAAGTAAGACTTTCATCCGATCCTGAAGACGGTATGGTCATCCGCTGCTGTTTCGGCGTATTTTAAACAGTAGCAGTGATTCTTCTTCCACTCGCCCGTCGAGGTATGCAGCGTTCAACTCCCCCGTACTTCATCCACAAGCACGCACCCAGTACGTGTTCATTTTCTTCCCTGCGTCATGACAGCCAATGATGACGTCACAAGAGAAACAGACGCGAGAGCGTATTGCACCAGTAATAAACAAGCGGCGACTAGTTTTATGTTCGTTCTCTGGATAGAGGGCTGAGAAGAAGTGATTGAAAAAAACCTCAATATTGTAAAATCTTGCGCCATTTTAATCCAGGCGTTTATTATACCTGGCGCTTTGCCCCTGACGCCCGTATACAGCTGATCCCGACTTGATAACAAAGGCACCTTGAGGCCTTGATCAGACTTGTGCGCTTTGGAAACGATACATTTTTCTTACCAAATACTCTAACAAGCTATGCCACACTATCGTTTTCGCACAGCTTTCCCCGTCACACTAAAACGATTGAATTCTGGCTGATAAGCCACGAGAAACGGTGAACCGTCGGAAGCATCCATTTTCGTTGACCTAGAATGTGAGCAGGCTCTTAGCGGGAAAAGAAAGGAGGACAGAAAACAGCCTACTCCCAAAGCTATCGTTCAGCCCAGAACTCTGGAAAACTTTTGCATAAGGAAGGAGTCGGTCAGTTTGAGGAACAATTAGAGATAAATTGTACGCGATAACAGATCGCACTTTTTAATAATTTCTGACGAGTGCATGGCTACCGCCGCAGTGGAGCCGGACCCCTGATTGTTTTGAGAGAAAGACCGATTTCGCCGAGCAGAAGCCGAGTTTACGTTGATTGTTTATTCGTGTTTTTATTTACTGCTGCTTCTTATTAAGTAGCATTTTATTTGTCTGAAACCTAGCTGGAAGTTTTACCTGGGATATGCTCGCTTTCATTACAATGTCCTGATACTCTGACAACCTTGCTGGGATGCGACTGATACAATTTTCAAAGATGAACTGACCCGCTTAAAACCAGTCAAAAGCGAGTATTTACGGTTGCAGTATTATTATCAATGAAAGCGATCAGTATTTTCGATCGTTTCGGTGTAGACGGAAGGCGAAAACGCTTCAAAAACTTGAACGAAAACGAAGCCCATGCATAGGTGTGGACGGGGCCTTAACACATTCCCAGCTCTCAAAATTTGGTTTGTTTACTTTTGATGTTTTCCGTTCTTTGTTGATGATGTTTTACTGGCAGGATCTACAATAGGAATGCCACGTCATGCATTTGAACATTTTCTGACCAGAGATTGTACTCCGTATGTGCGAGAAAGTAAATTCACACAGCCTCTTGTCACGTTGTTTACATCCGGTATTGCGCTAAGAAGCGTCATATCATTGCGAAACGAAGATGAGAAATTCTCCTTTGATGAAATTTGAAATGTTTAAAACTTGGATGAATTAATGTGAAATTACTTCGTCAAACACGAGTGCAAGATGTACTTCAAATTATCCTCTGTAATTTATTTCTTCGGTTATGCCCTTTCCATCCTTTTCCGGAACACGTCTCGACAAAAAATTTGATACACATGGTACTTAACATCCTTACACGTTGAAAGAGTGATATTGTGATTCACAAAGAGATAGAGACGGTCATAGGTCGAGTTTACGCATTGGATGTTTTATCGCTGACCCCTAGAACAATGTCTGAATTCTACGTCTTTTTGGAGCTGGAGGGAAGAGATAAGCGAAGAGATTGTTCGCTGTCTTTCTGGTGAACCGGACCTTTTCACAGTGTTCTACGCAGCGTTTTATTCAATACCGGTTTCTTTCCTATCTGGTTATCTGCCGGAGCTGATCAACATGTAGCCACAAAAATTGCAGAGTCATTTAGGGTGCTACAAATATGAAATCGATATATTTCCGCCACGTAGAATCCGCAGGAAACGTAATTATTTAGCTGCCTCCGGCAAACCTCGCAAAATATGTTAAATTTAATACTTTCAATTTAAATTGTTGTCTAGCATAAAATCTAGACAATAAAACTCTGTTTCTCGTGATCTCCCGTCTCACAAATGACGAATTGCATATACGCCAAACTTTCAATTGCAAAAGAAACAAATATTGCTCAACAAAAAGCAACCCATTGAAAAGCGTTTCTGTTTTCACTCGGAAACTGGCTGACAGTTTAATCTAGTGTTGTCACGTGGTATCTGTTAAGAAATTTAAATACGAAAGGTCGATCGTTGAATCATAGCATTTTCCCGGGACTGAAGACGCGATCCGCGTTACAGTTCATCAAGCAACCGGCGGGAAGCGTTGTGTTTCGGTAGCTGAAGGACAAAAGACACCAAAATGGGAGGTCTGAAGTTTTTGATTTGCAACCAGAAGGACAAAAAACCACTGAATCCCAAAGAGCGGACACCACTTCGCCAACGGATTTCATACTGCACCGGCCACATCTTCAATGATTTGTGCTCCGCCGTTTGGTTCACCTATTTCATCGTTTACTTCAACAAAGTAGTCGGCCTTTCCACTACAGAAACAGGCCTTCTTTTCCTCATCGCACAAGGAGCCGATGCCGTTCTTACGCCTTTCATGGGCATCGGCTGCGACCGGCTTGTCATCAAACGTCTCGCTCGTTACGGCAAGAGAAAAACCTGGCATTTGTTTGGCACAATTTTTGTAGCGATCGCATGGCCATTTATCTTCAGCCCTTGCTTGGCGTGTTCAGATGAGAGTCCCAATTGGTTACCGCTGGCGTACTATTCTGCTACAGTTGTAATCTTCCATGTTGGTTGGGCCGGTGTACAGATCGCGCATTTGTCACTCATCCCAGAGATTGCCAAACGACCTGGTGAAATTGTGGAATTGAACGCTGTAAGGTAAGTAGGCCCAATCAGATTAATGGTTGTTGATTATTAATTAGATTTTGGAGTTTTTTTTCTTAATCTTGGAATTACTCACGCATGCCCTAAAACAAGTTGAATCACACAAGAAAACTAAATATTCAGTGTTTTTGTTTTTCCCAACCGGCAGAAGAGTCTTCCGAGTCTTATAAAATAACTTCCTTGAAAATATTTTAAATTAGTTTTAATTATTGCTTTTTCGGCATTCCAGCGCCAAAGTCTCTTTACGTGTTACTGGAGCGCTTTCAGACATGTATCAAATCAGGACTTATAGAAATAAAATACATTATAACTGAAAATGTATATTTTTAAAACTTAATTGCCTTTCTCCCAAAGGTTGCATCGTAAAGGTTAAACAATCTTTGTTGAAGTAGTGACCACTTATAAACTGTCTTAAAGTTTTGTTTATAAACAAACAGTAATTGAAAATGCCTAGCTTAAAATAAATAGTTTGGCAAGAAATGATTGTCTACCGCGGTACCGGAATGAATTAAATTTTCGATCTACATTGTGGTTATGAACGGAAGGGATTTTAGAAAGTCGTTTCTGTTTTATAGAAGCAAAATGATAGAACAGGGCGGTCACCGTTTTTAAATGTTATTTAAACCCCCCACTTGGGACATAAAAGCTTGAAGTTTGCAAGAAAGCGCATGCTAAAAGCTGGTTTCAACAATCAGGCTTGGACTAAATTTACAATATATAAATGTTGATTGAGCATAGTATAGTAAGCATTGAGATTATTTCAAAGACTTCTAATTTCGTCTCTTATCATTTTTTTTTTCAGATCTGGTCTAACGTTTGTTTGCGGTATTTTCATCTATGTGGTCACGTGGATTTTGCTCGGGCAAGCGAGCGAGGAAGGCATCAGTCACAGCCTGTGGAAAGAATTCACGGTACAAAGTTTATTCAAAATTCAATAATCATAAATGTATAGCCATTTACTCTTTAGAAGAAGTCATAACTATTTATTAGATGGAAGAAAAAGAGCATTGGGCACACTTAAACCACGTTTAGTTATCCTCAAGTAAAGAATGAAAATGTGCGTTTTGTGGACCTAGTTAACCTGGATAGCAGGCGTAAACAAAATGGGGAGGCGGGGGGGGGGAGGGAGGACGGGGATGAAAAGAGCGGGGCTCCGTTTACGCCTTCAACGCAGGTTAGGGCCTACTTGAAACTCGCAACATGTATAAAGTACTCCGAAAAAGCCAGGAGAAATGTCAGAAAAGTGTCTCAAACTTTCAAAAGTTTGTCTTTCTGCTAGCTGCAGTGATGTCAACAGTGTTTTGTGTTTGTTGTTTTCAGCAACTCAGCCTGATCGTTGTAGGAACAGGGTTTCTATTTTCGTTCGTGTTTCACTGGGGCACTGTTGAACCTGCGTCTTCAGCAGGGACCCGCAGAGAGGAGCAGGAACAAGGTAAGCTAGTAAAAATTAAAAATAAATCAATATAAAAGAAGCTTTACTTCTGATATTTAATTTCCTCGGTAAGAATTTTGGTCTGGCTACGTGTGGCGTGTAAAGTAGTTCGTTTTTTTATACTTTGATAACTTCCATATTTTATGTGCTCTGGCCCTTGGGCATTTTCAACGAATTTTGAATTTTTTAATCTGCCCAAATTTTATTGATAATTACTACGAAAGTTTTCGTTCTCTTGACAAGCAAGCAGATGAGGTCGCAAACTGTTAGCTCATAATTTGTCCCTAATCAATCAGCTCTTCTTCACACGACTGGTGATTTTTATGTTTTTCTTTTCACTGTTTCCGTATTTCCATTTTTCATTTTATTTATTTATTCCATTCTAAAATTACAAAGATAAATATAAAGTAAACAAGTAAGAGGAGAAATGGAAAAGGGAAAAAATATAGCAAGCTAATTAGATGCCCTTGTTTAATTGACAATAATAATTAGGGTAAAAAAGTTAACTTAACATAGGAGAGGAAGAGGTATGATCTACCAAGCAATCAGTTGTGGTGCTCCCAGATCTAAAGCCATATTGATTAGATACTAAGATATTCTCAGTCATAAAATAAAATTTTAGTTGATTAAGAATGCACTTCTCAAAAATTTTACTTAACGCAGAAAGGACTGATATGGGCCGGTAGTTATTGCACGAGGAACGAGAGCCTTGTTTGAAAATCGGGATAACCTTGGCAATTTTTAAACTATTTGGAAATATACCTTGTTCAAGTGTTTCCGTATGCCTATCGTTAGTCCTTTTTTCCATCTCTTTACTGGGCTAGTCTCTCGTCCTTGAGCCAGCTACATCAGAATTAATTTAAAATTTATTTTTCTTTCCCAGAATCAGTGGACGAGCAGTCTTCTGAACAAAGTCTCTGTGTTGACATAGTGGAGAGAGAAGCAGTGCCACACAAACCCAAAACATGGCGACAGTGGTTCAAAGATCCTCGTTTTTACGCGGTAAAATGAAGTTTCTGCTCTGCTATTTTGCGCTTTTGTCGTCTTTGAATTGTTTTCATTTTATTTATTTATATATTCTGATAAGAAAACATTTCGATTGATTACGAGCGAGATGAAAACTTTTGCACGAATTGAGTCCGCCTATGTATTTAGTTTGATTTTTCTTTCACGAATGAAAAGCATTCGTGGAGTAATCAGTCCAGTTTATGCATTATTTATTTGTTTATTTATTTATTTGTTCACTTTTTTCTTTCAGATGGGTGTTGTTTACACGTGTACACGTATTACAGTAAATGTTTCCCAATCGTATTTTCCATTTTATCTGACGGAGACGCTTCATTTTCAGAAGGTGAGATGAACAGAACATTCCAACTTCTTTTTTTCAGTTTGAATCTGTAGACTCAGGAAATATGACTGAACCAGGGAAGTACTTTACCGTTTGAGTCACAAAGACCGCAAATACCGCCATATGTTTGAGATGGCTTAGCTTTTATTGAACGAAAATTCATATGTAATAATTGTAAATGATAACAGAAGAATTCGCTAGCTTACCTACTGCTAAATACGTTTTTCCACCACAAATGTAGAAATGATATTACTGCATTTTCATCCGTTTTCGTAGCATATGCTCAACGATTAAAAAAACTCGTCAAACTTGATTTCCCATCTCTAGTCTCAGTTTTTAACACAACCCTTTCTAATTAATACTTTCTATGTTTTCTTTATCCTCGTCACAGGAGGCCATTGCATATTTCCCCCTAGTCATACTGATCAGCGGTGCTTTTGCAAGTGTCATTGTCAAGAAAATCAGCAAGAGCCTGGGTACCAAGGTAAAGTCACTCGCACCCTCGTTTAATGCAGACGCTTTCTGTGGACATACATAAAGCTTGGGTCTTATAAGCTTCAATACACGAAATCCGGGAATACTGAGAAAAAAAACATTCTTGTTCTGTGTCGAAACTGGTAGGGAGCAGGGATGGCACAGTGTTGAGAGCGCTCGCCTCTCAGTAATGTGGCCCGGGTTCGATTCTGGCCCGGTGCCATATATATGTGGGTTGAGTTTGTTGTTGTTTCTCGCCTTACTCCGAGGGTTTTCTCCGGGTTCTCCGGTTTTCCTCCCTCCACAAAAACTAACATCTCCAAATTCCAATTCGACTAGGAGAGAGCGTCCGCATGAAAACCAGCTTGGGCTGATATGGCTTCCTCTCTAAATACTGTAATTTAGTAGGCTTTTCATTTTGTTCTCCCTGTGCTAAGGAGAAGCTAGTTATTGAGCTAAGTGCTAAATATCTATCTCTTTATTATGTTTTCAGTGGACCTTTTGTATAGCCTGCATAGTTGTCCTTGGTGCATGCGCGTGGTTCTATGTTCAGACTGTTTCTGGTCGTGATGGTGTGTACGCGGCCGCGTTCATTATGGGCTGCGGTAATTCTGTCATGCTCGTGACTGTGTTGTCCATGACCGCTGACATGATTGGAATCGACAAGGTAAGACAAACAATGACAATACACTTGGTGCATTGCAGTGAATAAGTATAATGCCTGTGTTTCCCTTTGAAATCTGAAGGAGAAGGTTCTCCTGTTAACACAACGTTTATGTTTCATTGCAACCAAACAAGAGCTAGAATCCCGCATTTGGAAGCCAATCGGGAAACATCTAGCCTGCTAGTGTCATCAGTATAAGCAATTTACGTACCCTACCCACCTACCCACCCACCCGCTCAGTCCCTTAACTTATTATCTCGTGAGTCAGCTCAAGAATTAGATAAAAACTAATCCATGTAGCTGCGATCGCGTTTCACAGTGTCTGTACTCTTGTCATTGCGCTCATGTTTTCCCAGCTCAACTGACAATGCCAACAAACAATGTGAAGCCTGCCCTTTGGAAACTTCGATTAACTTTAATTTGAAGCTTTGTACTTGTCAACGTATATAGTTCATCTTCGTTCACTGAATAATAAGACGAGCTATACAGAAAAAAAAAACCTGAGTTTTCTCTGACCTCATTTTAAAGGCCTCTGGAGGTTTCGTTTACTCTGCTATGGGTTTCTTGGATAAAGGATTCGTCGGAGTGGTTGTCCTTATCATACAAACGTTCTACCCCGATAGCCCTGAAGGGTATGTATTATCCTGGATGTCGTGTTCGTTGATTAGCTACCACCGTGACATTCACTTTAATTTTCTTTAATTTCTTACGCCCCGTTCACACTACGCCGGAGAAATTTGAAAACGCAGCTTTATTATTACGGTTAAGCCTACCGTTCACACTAATCCGTCACGAAAACGGAGCTTTTCAAAAACTTTTTCCAGCTGGGGGAATTTGAAAACGCTGGCTTTGCGCTTTAGTATG